ATATACAGGTATTAAACTCATGACTGGTTTGACAATGATCAAAAATCAACAATGGAAATGTTCTGGAACCCAGGGGAACAATAACCCTACAGTATAATAACTGAGTAACCCAAATATAGGTACTTATGTCACAGTTATAAACCTTGATACTATCCCATAAGAAGATGCTGATATTGTTGGCCTTCAGGGAATTATAACTTTGATAAGTAAACATTCAACGGATTATGGAATGGGAAAGCCTGTCATCACGACCCATATATTTTAAGATTTTAAACCCTACTATCTTCATTATGCATTTTGTACTACAAAATCACTACCGATTGCATGCTGACTTACTGCCATATCACAATGAGGACGCTGGAGTTGCGCAAATACTAAACCAAATTCCCCTCCTCTATTTGTAAAAGGGTATCCCTTTTAAAACAGAATGAACTTGTAAAATGAATGTGGACTTTGTGGTTTGGTCTTAGGGATTCTAGCACTGCCCAGGATTTCACTCAAATCAAGTGCGTTTGAAGATTTTGTGATTTACTGGCTCATGGCCTTCCTGATTTCTTTTTAAAGTTTGTAATGCGTAGACTGTAAATCACAGCCACCTGGGACCTTGTGGAAAAGCTACTGGAATTCCCACAGGGATGGTCTGAAATGTTTGCTTCAGTAATATAATGCACCTGCAGGGTTCGGCTGTAAGGGTCAGTGACTCTGCAGACGGACTTAGACCAGCAATAATATTTATACTTCACTGTACCATGGGATCTGAAAAATCTGGTGCCTTTATAGTCAGAGGCCTGAAAAATATATCAAAAAGACAGTGCTGTGATCTTACACAAATACAGAATGTCAGCATGACTGAACCCAAAGAGAGCAGAATAGAGCCTATGAAGAAAACAAAATCAATAATTGATATATACAATATACTGCATATTAGCACCACAGCTAGTTGATTTAATTTTCACCACTGGACTACAAATTATTTTTTTATCTGAGAGAAAGCTCAATGTAATTTTAGGAGATTTAATGCATACTGAGTATAAAAAGAAACTTAGAGTTGTGTTTATACATGAATGTTTTTTAGACAAAGTATGTACAGCAGATTTTGTATACTGAGTTAATGGCCTTTGTGACATCTGTATATTTAAGGCTAGACTAAGTCATATCAAGCGGACCAAAAGTGAAGCCCAGTCCTTTTAATGAATGAATCAAGGTTTTTGTGTGGACCAGCCCAACAGACATAAGCAAGCATGCCGCAGGCATTCAGAGCAATATGCTAGTTGTGTACAAAAGACCATTGAATGGGAAAGTCCAAGTGTGATGTCAGTGCACCTGCTGCAAGAATAATTTTTACTTGTTGAAAATCAGTGTTATGCTTCTTTTGGAGCCTACATTATATTGTTATATTACTTATTACATTGTAATAAATGCCTAATAATGCCTACTTACAAAGTGGACATTCATCAATTATAACTGGTAACTTACATAAATAAGTTGTTAATTAAGTAATAAAAAATGAACACGTGTTTTATAACATGAATCTGAAATAGTTACTGAAATTTTAACAAAATAATTAGGACAATATTTTGCACAACAACCAAGAAGTAAAATATACTTTATTATACTGTAAATGATGTACATTCACATCTTAGATTATGAGACACTAAGAATATGTCACTGGAACAGCTAATATGGTTTCCTTCTAAAGGGGGATTTAACTGGTCCACCTGTACCACAACATGGGTAAAACTAAGGATTAAATCACTTTATAAACCCAAAGCACCTGTCAATAACTTTGACAATATCTATAAAACCCAAAGTGTACAGAAGGCAATGTTCTATTTCTTACTGTAGGTCTCATATTTTAATACACTCATCCTTAGTGACAGTGTCACTAACCTGATCCCCTGGCATTCTGTAATTATGAAGTTAGCAGATTAAAGAGAAACTACAAACTGTGATTAACCTATCCTTATTATTATAATTCTATAAACGACTTCAGGGAAATCAAAAGTTCATCTGTTTCTGGTCTCCTGATGTACTGTACAACTTTGCAACTGCTTGAAAAGTTACTATTCTTAGTGCTTGAAAAATAAGACTTTTTCAGATGTGCAGCAACATATGGCTTGGAAGAATGTAGGAAAAACATTTTTACTAAGGTCCCATGTTGTTTTATTGTGCTTTTCCCTGTTGGCAGACCATGGCTAGACCTCACACTCTATAGTAAATGATGGGCACTATGCCATACAGAAAAATCAGGCCCAGGATCTTTAACCAAAGAACTGTGGTGTGCAATTAATACAACCATAGCCTATACCATAGCCTATTGTGTCTTACTTATTTTAGTATCAAATAATGTGTAAAATTGCTTTAGATAGGATTACATTAATACTGGTTATAAGTTTTATCCTGGATATTAATTTACATCTGCTCTTGCTTTTAGCGACTTCACTACTGAATGAGCTAAATAATGTGAATACATCTTTTCACTGCAAATGTGCTATGCATTCAATATAAAGAATGACTTGAATTGTAAATCTATAAGACATTATAATAAATATTATGGTTGCCGAAATGAACACTGGGAGGGGCTTGGTTTTTGCATGTTTCTGAAATATTACAGCTCCTATCTATCTCCTTTGATATACTGTACCTTCTGAGTAATTTAATTTTTTATGGCATCGCTGGAATTAGAGAAAAAATTGTTGAAAGCGGGCACTGTCAATGTCATACTCACTGGAAAGCTGAGGTTGTTTGATAATTGCTTCTTGCTATTTCCTTAAATCACCCAGTAACAAAGGAAAAAACTCTAATTAAATACATTTAATTGCTATAGGAAGGATGTGCTGCCAAATATACTGTATGGTCATATGGTCCTGACCATTGGATTCTAAATGTCCTCTTCAGTAAGAACCTTTTACCTAAAGAAACTTCATGTGGGGTATAAAATTAGCTCCTCCCTCTGGACCAGATTTTAAAACTAATGCCCCAGTATAATGACCAGGGACACTGTACTGTAGGATCTCCTGTACTTGGTCATTAAAAGTTCCTTGGCACGTTTCAAAAGAGTAGGGGTGTTAATCCCAGTGTCCTGGCTAAATTCCACTCTAGATTTGGGTTTCTGATCTTCACAAAGCAAATCATAACCAATATCTCACTCCAACACCTGATTGAATATATAATAGTGCATAAGGAAGTGTGTCCCCTTCAAAATATAAAGCATTCTGGGAACTATTGGAATAAAAAGAGAAACCATAGAAATGGAAGGAAATGTTCATTATAATTCTGACTCACTTGACAACTGAACACTGTGATTGAAGCTACATTCCTCTTCCTATAAAATAGGGCTTTTCATTGTATTTTCCATAATTTCCATTTAGGTGCGTTTGTTCTTTGTTCAAAGAATATTTGATGTGCTTAGACAGATTAGACAAAAAAGTGATGTTTCAATGGTCTTATACAGTGTATGCAAATATATTTAAGCTTATGTTGCAGATCTCTTGGGAAGACACACACCAGTGTTTATCTGTCATGATTTATACCTTAGCTTCATGTTGCTTTAAATTTCAAAGTGAAGAAACTCTCTTTTTAAAATACAAACACTCACTATCTATGTAAGCCTGGTTCTCCAAACATGTTCTACTCTATAGACTTGAGACATGTGCCTTGTTGGCACATCTTAGTGTTTCTAGTTATACTGACAGAGCTAACTTGTGTTTCTTTACAACTTTAGAAAACAGAATATGACTCCACTACTCTCTATCCAATTTTTAAATGTATTATTCTTATTATTTCAGGAATTCAAACCTTACTTCAGAAAGGTTAATCTGTCTAGAATTGTAGAAAAACTGAATGAAAATGTACATACTGTACAGTAGATACAGTTCTCTCTTTAGGCTATAATATAAAACAGGGTTAACTTAAGTATTTTTAGTAGCTCAATAAAAAAAAGCTTACTGTGTGAGTGCAGGTTGAGTTCTTTGATGCACACATCGCAAGTATGAGACTCGGACATGCCAGTAGCCAATTACGGCCTCATCTCACTTATGCCTGGTATTTCCCAAGCAGTGTCGTGCCGCATCAGCATTGTCAGGCGTTGGGTTCAGTTAAGCTACAGTAGACTGGACTCTCTCAGTTCTCAGCAAAAAAGAGACCTAGTGACTGCAGGCTCATGAAGGAAGGAAGGACCTTGTCTCCATTTGTTTAAGATCCTTTTGAATATTGTTGCAGAGACTCTCACAAAAAAGTAAAAAACTGAGGTATATTGGTGAGAGGGTCTTGTCAGCCATTCCCCATACTCCCCAAGCTACTGTAGAATAGTGTCCAAATATCCTTACTTCCAGTAGTCCTCATGAGCAATGACATTTGGACACAACTGGCAATTAAAAACTGGGCTTGTGTATAATGAAAAATAATTGGAGATTCTTACATTTTCAAAATTAAACTTTGCATTACTACTAAAGTGTTGTATTTGACAGTGAAATAATATCCTGTGCATACTCCTGAAAATCCTAAATAAAAGTTAGTAAAAAGAAGTATCCGAAATGGAAAATGAGAAAATGAAATACAAAATTTAAAGCCGTTTCCCTGAATGGAAAAACGATTATTTATTTTCTTTTCAAAATAATTGCCTCACTGATTGGTTCAAGCCCCATAATCTCATACTCACACTCCGGATTTCCCATAAATCACCATGAGAAGTACAAGGGAAGACAGATCAGGAAAGCGATTTTTCTGTAAGCCCAAAGCTGACAATGAATAAACGATTTTACTGAGCACATCCTGAGAGATTATATGGCTCAGCCCCTGCCTAGTGTTTATTAAAAGTACTGTGCCTCTGCATTTGCAGAAAGACATTTGAAACTAAAGGTTTTTGTTTCGTAAATATATTTAATCATTGTGCAAATGAGAATACATTGTCGGACATTTCTATGTGAACCTGTCGAGCACAGCACAATCCTGTATCCATATGAAATGTTGTTTTGAGATCTGGTAGCTGCAACACTTACCTCACATGATTGTATGCAGTGGACCAGGTGTGGGTCTGGATACCATCTCATCAGACCTGTGCAGACGATGCTCTATAGGAATAACATAATAAAAAATAAAATAAAACGTGATTAATCAAAGTTTATTGCATTATATGTTGCATTGTCCATGAGCTGGTGGATACGTTGTATTCTTAGACAGGTAAACAATCTGTTTTTCAAAAGAGTTGGCTAAATATAGTTATATAGTTATATACATGTAGTTATGATTCTCCTGGGTTTGCTTTCCACAGCATTACAATTGGGGTGATGTAACTAGTGGAGTACCACAGGATATTAAGACCTATATTGACACCACTATTCTCCTTGATTTAAATGATCCACAAAGTGGATTCTGATAAAGTAAATAGACTAGTTAAGTTTTAAAATGGAAAAATTAGTAAACACATTAGAAGCAGCAAAGGAAATTCAAGAATATTTTGACAGAATTTAAAACTAAGAAAATACCAGGCAGACATGATTAACATAGATGAGTATTGAGATAGCAAAAACATAAACTATAGGTACAAAATGAGAAACACAAACATAAACAAGAACATATGAAAAAGACTAAGGTGTTTAAGTCAACACACTATATTCATCTTCTGGACATAGCAGGAAAATTATCATTTTAAGACACACAGTTAATAGAAAATAATTTTAATCAGGGGATTTATGTTAAAACTGTACTATACAGTAAAACCTCATTAAGTATATCCTGTACAATTCTGGTCACCATGTCAAAGTGCTCAGCAAGACAAATGTAGCCAGGAACATTCTGGTGCTTAACTGGCATGAACTGATGGACTAAAAAACTGATCCTTTATAGTCTGTAGTTATAAGTCAAACTACAAAGTGACAAAGAACAGGAGAAAATTACAACAAGAGGTTGTGGGGGTTTGGAACACAAAACCAAGCCATGTTGTTGAAGGAGATACTGTACCATGGCTTCATTCAAGAAATAGCTGGAATAGATCCTTGGATCAATTAGCTACTAGCAATCAAATGGGCTAGATAGGCCAACTAGACTCCCTTTGTTTTTCAGCTTTCTTATGTTCTTACAATAGCTGTCAACAACTATGCAATGTGTTTTCAGAGCAATGCTGAAAAATCCTCTTTCTGTCATAGCAACCACACGGGCAGCATTTTAGCAACCTAACAAAAGCTGTTTAAACAAAGGCAGTATCTAGTAGATGAGGAACTCTGCCATTTGTAATCAAACAACCACATGGGGCTTATGACTTCCAATAGCTCTTAATCTGTAGTCTGGTGTTTATTGTTTTCATTTTAAAACACAGATTTACAGCATACCCTCTAACGTCAGATATCTGATGCCAAGAGGCTACGGAGTAAATGAAGTGCCCCCAGGGTTCTCAAAACTGGAGGTGGTAAGAGTTTTTGGACGTGAGCTAAACGTTGATTTAAGGTAATACTATCCCTTTTTTGACAGAAACAGGCCAGGAATATGGCATATGTTATCAAATTCAGTTCCGAACTATTCAAATTTAAAAGCCTTAGACTTCAAGTGTACTGAAAGGTCACCCAATGGCAACTCAGTAAAAAAATTTTTTTCACTCTAGATCTCTATTGTCTGGGTTCCATTGGGTCCCATTAGGCAGTTTTCCCCCATAAAAAATAATATTGATCTAACAGTGTTAGATACACCAAAACATGTGAAAACTTTCAGCTGCTATTCTTGTCTTGAGTATTCCATTATGAGAAGTTGATGACAACTAGTTTTTCTCTCAGAGATGTATAAACTTTTGTTTCCTCGAAAGGTCTGGCAACAGAGCCATGTGAAGTAAAATTAAGTTAACAAGTCAGAACAGTTTTAGTCAAAAAGAAGCAAAACCTTGGACAACCCACGCTTTACAATACTTACACATAATACGTGTTTTTTTGTACACTAGCCTTAAAATACGGTAGAAACAGCAAGGTAAATATTCCATGTATCAACACAGAGAAATGACACAAATGTAATTCCTGACCACACCACATGCCCTGTGGCATCAAAGATGCATTTAGAAATCAAGATAAGTAAAGTTATACAAAAGGGCTTGTTTTTAATTGCCAAAAGAATTACTGACTCCTAGAGAAACTTGAGTACATTCATGGCACATGTCAAACTGCATAATTGCATACAGATACACATTGATTATGTTAAGACAAAAAGGATGCATGAATTGTGTATGAATGTAAATAAAAGATCCAAAAAAATTGTTTGGTAGCTATTCACCGCTGTCAGCAGACATGTAAGAAAATGCCACTTGAGATGTGACTGGAGATGATATGTAATTGCAAAAATTCCTGATCTCTTCAATTGACTGATCTCGAAAAGGGAGATCAACACTCCAGGAAACAAGTACAAAACATATGGATATTTCCGTTAAAAAGCAAAGATCATTTTTGATATAACAGTCATACTCAGATACCATCCTGTCTCACCTTAACTTTGCTGGGTAACATCCAGTGCTTCATCGTGTCAGCAGTAACATCACTGGACAGAAGCACTGGATCGCTCAGGGAGATGACACATGCTGGATAGCAAACAGCCCCTGCAATTTCACAGCATTATTGTCTTTTCTTTTACTTAATCTCTAACACATCAAAACCAACTTGAAAATAGTTAGAAATTAAATCACCAAATTCCACAGTTTAACTCCAGTGATGTCTCAAAACCAGATGATTATTCGTGGTAGCATATAAAATAATATTGCTGAGAATCAGCCTTGACAACTGGAACTCAAATCAGGGAAATCAGGAATGTTCTTGTCATTTTATTAAGCAAAATAATTTTTATTGTGGTCTGAATTTAGCTGCATTCGTAATGAGGAATTTATTTCCTTTTCATTCTTGTTTTCAGCCCTAAACGAATGTGGTGATGACCTGTTGAAAGGAATTAAAATGTATACTTTATTTTTATTATTGTTACATGGTTAGGACAAATCTGAACATATGTTTTGACTCACCCACATTATAGCCTTCCTCACAGCTGTACTCCACCAGATTAACATCAAGAGGAGGTGCACATGCTCCTTGAAGTTTCCCACACATTTTAAACACCTCTGTCCATGTGCCGTCCTTGGTACAGCGGATTGTGTACTGTCAGCAAATACAGAATGTGCATTATGAAGAGAGCACTAGGCACTGATGAACTAAGTGCTATGGTTTTCTCTGAAAGTACTGTACATAATGAACAGACAGTAAGGCAAAACCTCGTCCAGAAAATAATCATAATATCATTATCCTTTGATTAGGTGAAAACCAGAGCCTTTCCTATCAAAACTGCAAATTAGACAAAGAAAGTTTTCAGTGCTTTAGAATGACAAATGTCACATTAAATTTCCTCTAACCTTCTCTGTGGGCTCGGAACAGCTGAGAGTACACTGGCTGTCAAATTCCAGTCCCTTCGTACAGCTGTACATCCCCTCAAACACAGGGGGAAGGGGTTCACAGGAAACAGGAACGCATTTCCCTTCAGTCCAAACTCCATCTTCAAGACACTCCAGCTTTAGGAATTTCCTAAGTATGCAAAGAATAATGCACATCTAATCGAAGAGACTACAGTAAATAGCAAAAGAGATTGCATGAAGTATTGCCATCTGTTTGAACTTGTTAGGAACAAGGAATTATTAAGATGTTTTAATTATCATGAATAACCTGGGGCCTATAAGTTTTATACTGTACAGTATATCTACTGACAGAAATAATTCTTCCAAACAGTACGGTATATTTCATAGGAATGCACACAACAGATTGTAGTACAACTCACTTGCAAAAGCAACATTAGCATGAAACGTTGCTTTTTAAGGCTTTACAAACATTCACTGTTTATGCAACTGATTTCTATCTTTTTCAGACTTTCTTCTTTATTGTCTAAATGCTACATTTTTTCTAAAGAAATGTGAGATTAGTCATGTGTGAACAAGTATTGCAAAAGGACTAAAAAAGCAAGTCGATGATTTTGATTCCTTTATGAGACCTGCTCCATACTTATAATAATGATGGATAATTACGGTGTTTAAAGCATGTCCACAAACCTTAACGACTTGTTGGACAAACATGTAAAAGACTGCAGGTGTCCTACACTGGTGTCGGCAGCCATTCGTACATCACACAAAGAAAAAAAAGCCATCAATCCCTCAGGGCAGGGCAAACCAAAAAACAGCCTTTCTGACTGACCCATTTACCTGTTGTGTAATATGGCCTTTGACTCCTGCCAGACTGAAACTAATGAGAACCAGAGTCGGGCTACCAAAATAGGAGGTGGTCCCTGTTTACTAGAGTATTCGGAACATATGGCCTCTTCGTTAACAAGAAACATTATTGCTTTGTTGTTTTTGCTTTTGTCAACTAAAACTAATAAAACTAAAAAACATAAAGTATTATCTTTTGTGATTTCCACTGACCATACAGTATAATATAATCTTGTATTTCAGTATAGAAAGAATTGATTTTATATCACCAAAGTAGCATGTTTTGTGTCACTGATCTACTGTACCTACAGTAGTAACATGAATAAATACGTAATACAGAAAAAAGATCACTCACTTTCTTGGCTTTTTGTTCGGGCTACCCATTACGTAGTATCCAGGATTGCACTTGTAACGACAGATGGTGCCCACATCATGGCTACCTTCTTCACAGTGGGGGACCAACAACTTGGCATTGTGCACTGTTGGGGGTGCACCACACTCCACTCTGCAATATGCTTCCGGATAGGACCACAAGCCATCTTCTAAACACACCAACCTGTCACTCCCACCTGGAACCCGAAAAAATAAAGACCCTTGAACTCTGGCAGCAGTCTGGGAACAGGTGAGAATGTAATATTTCTATATGTTGCACTGGGAATATCTCAGTAGTTGGAAGGAAGAGAAAATCCACCCATTGAATCTTTTTGCTGACCACTTCAGCCAATTCCAGGTCACGGGAGAGCTGAAACTGATCTCGGCAAGCAACGGGCGCAAGGCAGGGTCCACCCTGCAAGGGAAAACTATCCATCGCACCTACTGTACCAGTGTGTCTTTGGACTGTGGGAGGAAACCCAGAGCACCCAGAGGAAACATTCATAAAATCTTTAAGAACGATTCTTTATTTTTTCTGGGAATAATCCTGTTAGAATGCTTTATGGACTTACAATAACTTACAGTTTTTTTATTAAACATCCATACTAAACCAGACTGACCTATTAATTCTCACTGTCTAGCTTTAGATGCACCTGAAATTAATTATCTCCAAAGCAGCTTTGTTGCATTTGATATCATGACATTGTCAAAAACTAGAAAACCTGCACCCGAAATCATACAAATAAATCATTAATAATAAAGTACATGTATTCAAATCAGAAAAATGTTGCATGCTAAAATAAACACGCCTATACTGTACGGTATATTCTTGGGGCTTCTGTGAAACCCTGATTTTAAAAAAAGATAACAATACTTAATGATTTATTTAAGACATCATGGAACTATTTTATTTGAAGTGCTATAAAATACTTTGTGTATGTTTTTATTTAAATCGTGATGGTGACTGTTGTCTCTGTCCACAATATTAACATTTAAATTTATCATTTGATAAAAAAGGACTGATACTTTCTTGTAAAACTTTCACTTCTATAAAAAAAACGTGTTTACAAAACCTGGAAAGTAGGCTTGGCTTCATTGTAGCTTGCAGCACAGGTAGAAAGCCAAGTCTCAGAGTCCTTAGGGAAACTGAATTTTCAGGTCCCAGCTACCCCACAGAGAAGTTTCGTGAAGAAAAACATTTCCTGGCCAACTAATGACTTTGTGGTTTTCTGTTTCAGCAGCTGTGGTGACCCTGTGGGACAAGGTACCTGAATCTGCCTATGTACTGCAGGCTAATGAGATGAGTTTCACAACACTGTGCTCACAGGCCCCTTTTTGTATGGCGTTATTTGATTTTCATTTAAGACAGGGAGGGCCGCTTGTTGTTTGATCAAGGTGGACTTCAAAACACAGGGACCTTAAATGGCTTTTAGAATCTCTGTAGCTGCTAGCTTTTTAAATTTATTAATATAGATTAAGTTCATTCACATCATTTACAGTGATATAGAAATAGACATTAAGACACAGAGACAGAGGTTTCAAAAAATAGACAGAAAACGTTAATTTAAACACTTATTGGCATGCTATTAAAATATGGAAGTCTCTCAACTGTTGCTGCTCAATGCCAACATGCTGTCACCCCTCTTCCAATTACTAGACCTGTTGAATCATAAAAAACACTTTTTCCTTCTTATTTTCTCTCCATACCTGTCTACTGCCTCCCACACCTCCTGCTAGTTTCCTATTTATGCAGCAGGTATCTTATGTTCTCTGGAAAGACCTTGGCACAGAGCTACACTTGGCTGGATCAGATAACACTCCACATTAACTTCCACTACTTTAAACCACCATCTGAACGCCTGTAAAGACTTTGATACTTGGCATCAGACAGAATGAAAAAGAAGGAAAAACAGTTTGACATAAAAAAAACACCAATTTATGCTTGTGCATGTAGAAAGAACAAATAAATCAACATATTTATTTTCACAGTGTGTCATTCATTCCACACCTTGCAGAATTGCTGGAGGCTTGCAAGAAAATGAACACTGTTTTCCAAAAGTTGTTCCCCCTGGGCAGGAAAAGGAGGCGAAGTAAACATGGGACTCATCCGGGAATCCACAGTCAATGGGTTGGCAGGCCACTACTCGGTCCCATGTCCCATACCCACACTCCAGCACTGCTTCCTTCTGCCGGATATCAAGAAGGAAAATCTTCATTATGAGGTTGTAAATTATGCAACACATTACTGTATTGGTTCTAATTAAAAATAAAACTACAGTCTACTATCAAAGAAGCCCGGACTGAAAAATGTATAGGACAGTAATTACATTTCATCCTTTTTTTGTCAGCTATTTCTTTATTGTTTTTCCTGAATCCATCCATTTTCTAACCACTGCATCCAATTCTGAATCACGAGGGACCCGGAGCCTATCCTGGCAAGCAACGGGCTTAAGGAGCGATAATTCCATTTTAAATTATAATTGCTTGCATTAATATAGTGCTTTACACATGGAAAGGGATCCATTTCATTACCTGCTGAAGTGCAGCATCCATCTGGGTGATATGAGACAGCCATTATGCACCAGCAGCCCAGATGAGGTGCAGGAGTACAATACTCCATTAGCAGTTGAATTATAGGGGGAACTTCAGGAAGATTAGATTGTTCAAACCCATAGCAGAATGCAGCCAGACATCAGGGTTAACACACCTACTGTTATGAACAGTGCCAGGGGATTTTTAATAAACAAGCAGCCAGGACATGCAGTAGGTTTAAGATCTCATCCACAGGACAGCACTTCCTACAGTACAGTGTAATTTTTGTGTTGGCAATTCTAATCCAGATGGAAAAGTGCCACCTACCTGTCCACCAACACTACCTAGAGCTAATTACTTTAACTCCTGATTCCAGATATTTGAACAATACAAAGGTCTCATGATGCTACATCATCCCGGATGCCAACTTTTTCCATTTTATTTTCTATTACCTTACAGTACAGACTTGATTACTCTCACCTCTTTTGGACGGAGCCCCTTCCCACTCAGCACACTCAGGGAGAAGCCTTGGTGACACGTGACAGTGCACCTGGGGTGACCCGGCTCAGAGGTGCAGTCAAGAGTGGCATGTTCTATCTCTGGGGGGCTACAGGTGTTGGCAGTGCAAGGCCTCCGAGCACATCTGCACCAAACAGAGGGGCCTGTCAGAGACGGTTACATTCACCCGGCAGAGATACACCTTTGGGCTGCATTGATGTTTCTTGTTTTCAGATAGACAGGGATGCTTGCAGTTTCAGTGAAAAACTACTGGAAACCATTGAAAGTGAAGGCTTAAACCAAAAGTTTTCTATACTTGGTTAACTTGTCCCTGCACATGATCATTCTTTGTAGCATAAATACTGATGTTTCATTCATGATCTGACAAAAATCAATTTGTTTTCTACATAAATCAAGAAGACGCCCAACATGGTTGACATGAACTAGTTGTCTATGACTAGTACTGTATACAAGCATTAAACATTTAATGAATAGCAACTGTATAATGTTGTCAGTTATTATCTTTCTTCAGTAATAAATGCATAATTTATGCCTGTAAGGATTTCTGCTAAGGCATATATTAAGCATTTAGAACTCACAAACAACCACTAATGACTTATTTTTACAATAATAAACAACTAATAACATGCATTATAATCCAGAAATAAAACAAGGCATTACCAATTATTTTAACTCCTAAGAATTTACCTTTGCTCTGATACACAGAGCAAGAAACTCCATTCGTTTATAAAAAGCTACCTGAACCTGTGGAGATTAAGTTACCCTGTTAGATATAGGACAGTTGTTACCATAATTACATTATTCCATTCAAACTTTTCATAATAAAACATCTTATAAAGTTACTTTTCCACCCATCATCTAAGGTATGACCCACAATGTCTGAGGAATATGTATGTAAGGAAGTGGACCTTTATGATTTTGCTCTGCTAAGCACGAGTCCTGTTTGAAAACCTGAATAACAAAACACAGAGCTGATTAAGCGAGTACATCTCTGCTTCCTGGCTGAAGACCCCACCCTCAGCGCACCCGTTCAGGGCGAAGGCGCTGAAATGACAGGAGGTCCTCAGAGCGACGGCCATGACAGCGACCAGTGGTGAGGAAAACTCGAAGAAGACAGCCGACGTGCGGAAAAATGGAAGGCTCAGGTTGTGAGTCACATTGACGACAAGAGGGTTACGCTGGCACGAGAGCTCATAAGAACCTGGAGAAGAAATTAAGTAGATTTGTTTATAAATATTCAATAAACCCCAAATTAAAAGTGGTCTATCGATAAATTAAATTAGCTAAGATGAAATCCCAGAAAGTCTTTCATTTTTCCCCCCTACATGTTTCCCCACTCTCATATTACTCATATTACTGACAGGTTATATTATACACCTAAAGCTATATGCAAAGAGAAAGAAAAATAATACCTAGAGAATGGTTTTTGCCACTTGTATCACTCAATTGGATAGACACGGTTTTCCTGTAATGGTATCCCAGCCAGGCTCCATCAGAAGCCAGGTAAATAATAATTGAAGCTGCCACCCCAGGACGAGAAAATCCCACCTAAACAAAACCATGGAACATGTTATTAATGCACCAGAACAATACAGTAGTGTAAGTGTGCCAATCTACAAATGCAAATGCATTAATTCCTACATCATTTGTCAGTAAATGGAGGCCATACCTTCAACCATACTGGCTGTTCCTCATCATAGTCAGAGTAGCTCTCCTTGATGGCAGTACAGGGAAACCAGGAATAATGTGAGAGGCTGTCACTTACATCCAGGAATTGAGATTTGCACACCTAGAAGCAGACATCCAAGCAATTATAATCTGTATAGTGATTTAACTCCACTAGGGTATGAAATATTGTCCTATTTAACGGGCCTATCCCCCTAAGGAATCTTTTTTCCACATTTTGGGGAATTTCAAGATATGACCCTGACGTTTTGTACACAGGTGTATTAATCTTTGTCAAATATTCTAAGGATATTCCTTGTTTAAATTCACTTGTCAAATGATAACTTCAATCTCAGCCTCTTGTAGGAGGACAAGGATCCTGATGGTTGGTCTCAGTGCAGCTAAAAAGATGTTGGCATTTCACTCTGTGTCGCCATGTTTCCCTCCCAAAGGATCATGGGATCCTGTCTTACCATCATATTAACTACATGGAACCTTCAACCACTTTGATAATTGGTACCTTGTGGAGGGGAATCTGAAGTGATATGATCAATTTGCTTGCTGCAATGACAATGCCTCTGTCAACACTGGCTGAATTCATTTTAGTGGTGCTTTGATTTACAATCTTTTTTGTTGGATGGGGATGGGAATTCGGGGGGATGGGGGGGGGGGTGTTCTCTTTTTGAAAAACTAATACTACTAAAAATTAGTTTTGGACCTTTAAAGGTATTGATAGTGCTCTCTATGGTATATGCCTAAGACAGCCTAGTTAAACTAGAAAATAATGAAATTACAACACAAAAAAAGAATGAATATAAATTCATGCTAACAGTCATATTTTCATCAGAAACCTATATCTCTATATGAATATTTGTTCATGAGCACTCATGTGGAAATCAATAGAACTGACTGGCAATAAGTACAGTACCTACAGTACATATCTGTGACTAGCAAGTCTTTTAAGTAACTCACTGTGGTGCACAGTAATGCAAATGTTAGTGTAACAGGGATGGTTGACTGGTTATTATTCCAGTACCTGAGTGAGAGAGGGTTCTCTTGTAACAGCAAGCACTGGGCATTTAGTATCATGTTGGTGAGATGCATGTGCTTCAGATGCCCACTGGTCAGAATAGCCATGCGGGGTGAAGAAACCACAGTCCTGCACACTGGAGCCTCTCTCAAACTCTTCACAAATACCATCGCCATCAAACACATAACACAGGCTTGGCTCTCCTGCAGGACGAAGCAGAAAATGTTCCTCTAATGTTACTTCACATGACGTTGTTGCTATATCACTTAGACATTTGGCGTGTTCAGCCCTGTAACAGGAACTAGAATTACTGAAACAAAGCTGAATGTCACTTATGTTTTTAATTACCAGCAGCTTTGCATGAAAGATGAAGTAATTTGCATTTAAGCTATGCTGGTCTAAGTTAATTAGGGAGTTAAACATGTTTGATTTTTCTATTGTGCTGCGTGGGTTGAGTGGGGGGATTGTTATAATTGTCCTTCTCATAGTCATTTATGGTTGATCAAAACAACTCCACTTTTGGGGATTTGACACAAGTCCATGTTTATGTTTTCAAATTAACTGGTTGGGAATTCTTGAAATAATCTAGCTATTTGGGTTAAATAACCAAATGATGTGATAAGGAGAAATTGCAAACCAAAAATGGTGTACATTTGTAAAAATGAGAGTGAGTAGAAAACAAGAAGGAAAAAAAATCAGCTATTCACGAAGAAAAGGCAGAAAACCATTTTTCATTAATGAAAATGTCTGAACAAATTATATCATACATTTAAATGTGATTACATAATGCATTTAAATGTGATCTCCTCATGTTAAATCTATTGACAGGCCTCCCCTGAACTGAAATGGAAAAATGCACTGTTAAGAAAAACAAAATTCTGTTAATAATGCAGATCCAATGAACTGATTATAAACCAAAGCCTGGAAACCAATTCCTTATGTCAAAGAAAAATCAGGTTCTTTTCCTTTGCAACTTACCATCACAATTAAATCCTGGCTCCATCTGACATTTCTTAGAGCATCCATCACCATCAATGAGATTGCCATCATCACACTCTTCTTTGCTGTAGAGGGTGAGGAGGAAAATACACAAACAACATTCACTTGCTCCCATTTAGAATAAGTCAGAGTGACTTCACCGCATAGCACACAAGGAGGATAAAGTATACACATTTACAGCATGTTGAGGGGAAAGTAGTAAAAACTTGAAAAAATGGAAGTGATATAAAAATTAACAAGGCAAGATGTCAAAACATATGAACTTTGTGCTGTCTTCATCTTACAGTAGCCATAGCTCAGACTACTGTCTCATTTACAATCATTTTACAGTGCAATCAGGAATAACTTATGTATAATGTTTTCTGTTTACAGATATGTGGTAGGCAAATAGGTAGCAAAAGAACATTTGATTTTGAAGCCAAATCTGAAAAACATGTTGAAAGATGATAATTCAGCTATTCCTACCTGTCCACCAGGCCATTTCCACAATAGGGAGAGCCGTGGATGTAGACTAGAGCTGGGGAATTTTCACTTAGAAGTCCTTCCATGGCTACTTGAACCCAATACTTATACAGCTCTCCCCAGATCACATCCCTGTAAGGCATAACACAACGGTGATTTCAAACTCCATAACATATTTGTTATCAGATCACATTGGTGACATTTTGAATTGAGTTAACTGAATTCCAGGTGAATTACTGTATATTAAGTCTTGTAAGTAAATGTGAAACCGAGTACTTCTGAAGAGTATTAAAATAAAATCTTTAATCCTTCTTCAGTAACATGTTAAGGACTTACAGCTGTTAATGTTCGTAATTTCTACATGGCAGGAGTCTTTCTTGATGAAACCTGATGGTATTTGTTTCTAGCTTCATCCTTTGCAATAGACACAAGAGAATACACTGAAAGAAAAGTACGCTAGCTACTATGTGGGTTTCGGAAAAGGTCAGAGCAAGGAGTTCCTTCTGTTCCTTTTCAGGAGATGACCTAATCATTGTCAGACTACCTAGGAAGATTACAGGCACAGTGCCCTGGTCATTGATCTGTTTTGTCTACTGACAACTATAAAAAGAGTATGCCCTTGACATTCCCAACATTGTTTGGTTGCCTTTGTCTCCTGCCACCAATAAATAATGTCTAAGAGGATGTAAGTCTCTTCTCTTCAGAGTCTCGGATAACCTCTACATACAGTACAAATTGCCTTCATTAATTATGAAGTAGGGTTTCTTCTCACAACCATGAGAGAGTCCAGCAAAAACAAATGGGCGTTCCACTGTGGCAAGCCTTTCAGGTCAGAAATTACAGTAGATCTGTTAATTATTACTGCGTCTTGTTAAAGAGGATGCGAGACAGAGCAGAGATATTTCCAAGAGGTTTTGAGAAGAGGATGAAAATATCTTCCTTTTCTGGCGTTTTTATTCCACGCAAAAACAAAATGGAAAAAATACTACTGCAAATTGAAATGAAGGCATGAAAAATCTAAAATATATTGTGAATAATCTAGACGGAAAGCTAAACATCGTTATTTTCTTGCTGCCGTCAACAACAGATAAAAACACACATTTACAGTATATGTATATATGTCATTTTTCTTAGCACTGCTCCACAGACATACAGTACTTTCAGGGAATGTTAATGACATCTAGTCCAGCCGTTGGAATTTATCAAGCCAGTTTAAGCGCTGTTTTACTGACAAGTGTTAACATGTTGCAAACACATTTCATTTCTATAATGACCTCATGGTGGCAGTGCTGCTTCACATTTACAATATTTAACCTCTTTCAATCCTTTTGTCTCTGTGACAGTCTTCCTTACTAACACACTATAATCAACACAGAATGTTTATTTGTTTCCTTCAAAAATTCAAGACAGCTCCAACAAGCCTGGAGTGTTTATTGTTTTCAGTGGTATAACATTTGGTTTATATTCCAATACTGATTTTTTTTTACATAGTTTAATTCTCCAAGGTTCTTACAGCTTTTTATACTTACACAATAGAAAATGAAATCAATCTACTAGTGTTGTTAGCGTTTATGGACCTATTTTTTATCCTGAGTTGGCAATTATTTTTAAATTTTATACCACCCCAATCTGGAATCAATAGTTGTTAATCAGCTTGACTGATCATGGGGTACTGCATGTTCTCCTGTGATATGTCCACTGCTCATCCACTTATATCTGACACAAGAGGCTAATGTTTCATTAATGAGATCTAGCAATGAGATGTATCAATTTAAGGCACATTCTGTTTCTTACTGACAGCATTTGAAGTGCTCAGGCTTCCAGCCATACCAAGCAGAAGCTGTACAGGTCGATTAAGCCCACCCAACTCTGATGGTACACCTAGCCAATTGCAAGTGGCTGCTTGGGGAATCTGGATTATAAATGGCACATCTTACACATAAGACAGAGCTCTCTGGACTATATGTCTCAGTCTGTGCTTCAACCTCTACTAGTTCAGCAATTGTTCTATGTTTTTTTCCAATAGATAATATTTCTATATTTTAACTTGATAAATCCCTTTTTGGATAACTTAGTGCTGTTCAGTCCTAGTCTTGGAGGGCCAGTGGGTTTGGACATTTTCATCTCAGGTCAGGTCTTAATGAGCTAAACTGTCTGGTTAATTGCTTAAGTCGTCCAACTCAACTGCTTTTTCCAGCTATTCAGGTGTGCAGATTTTCTCAGCCTTAAAGACACCCTGAATACCTGCAGACACACTGGTCATCCATGAGAAAAATGCAAAAATAAGAATTACGCACTAACAAGGGTATGCAAGGTTGTTGGTATTACAATAAAATGAGCCAGAATTTCAGAACAATACCATACCCGACCACTGGAAAGAATCAAGTTCAGCTAAAGTCTTAAAAATGTTCTACAGTGTTTGATCTCAGTCAAAGCCTTAAATCTTCTATGATGTAAATGTAAATTCCTCTGAAGAATATGAACACATTCCTGTTACTGTAAGTGTCCTCCAAATGACTGCAGCAGTTTCCCTGTATCTAGTAGACAAAACTATTAAATGTAAGATAGAAGGCTTACATTGAGGGATACACTCCTTGCATGCTCTTTGTGTGGAAATGTAATTTTTGTGTGTGCTTGAACGTAATTCTGTTTAAGGCTTGGCAGTCGCTGAAGGTGATAAACACCAGCTAATGTGGCCAACTTTTTGGCGTGAGAGCAGGAAAACTCAAATTTAACAACCTCAACATTTAGAGGGTGGCATGCACTCATTTTGGTTCAGATGGAAAATTTTGTAGTTCCTGGATTTAATACAATAATAAGAAGGATATCTCTCTGGTAAATTAGACTTTTCTGGTTAAATAAGTGATTAAATAGTCCACTAGGGTGGTATTTACTATAATAATGAATTTAAAATGGTACAATATTTTGATACTGTGACATGCGTATGACCTAATGAATAAGGAGACCTGTAGACAGACATAACCTTATCACATCCATTTAATGAATATACAAATATTTACAATTGAGAGAAGGCCATTCTAGAATGGAACTGTTTTTAGTAGTAATTGATCTGAGAATTTCATCCAGTCATAATGCAGTCTTTCTACTTTCAGGTAACAAACTATTTACAGTATATAGCATGCTAAACCAAATAAAATATGCCTGAAATCAGAGCAATGTTTCAAGCCATAATTGAGTGAGGGCTCCATTCACTTACGTGTCAGTAAACTTGCGTGATGGCTGTCTCACTGGGCCTTTAGGAAAAGCTGGGTCTCTGAATATCTGATAGTGGAGTGGATAACACTTGGAGCATAAGGTGTTCTTAGGCCTGGATGTCAGGAGAGCAGCATCAATCTCCATCTTCTCATCAAAGGTATAGATCTTCACCCCTGAGATCTTTTTCTGGGTGTTGAGGCGTAGGGTGAGTGGTATATCACAGAATGTGTGCTGGGGACCCATGTGGATGGACTCACCATACTCTGTGAGGATCTCGATGTTGGAAATGGCTCTGGTAGAGTCTGCAGAAAAAAACACAAGCTTGACCATCAGTCCATCATGCAGACATGCATTGGTGGCGCCTAAACAATTAAGCAAAGGTTAGGTATATAAGTGCATTTACAAACTGAGTTACATCACATTTTTAATGGATGGAATCACAAATTATTTCATCTGTATTCATAATTTATGAGAACAATCTGTTCAAAGCGGTTCAGGATGCAGAAATTCAGGGAAAAAAATTGAATGATACCACAGCACTCACAGATAAATTGAACTTGGAAACAATGTTTAATTCCTTCAATAAAGACAGGCATCAGTATACTGGAAACACACCAAACAGTTTAAGGTCCACTGTATTGACAAGCATTTTAACGGGCTCTTAGCATTCTTTACTGATGCTTGATGTATTAGCTTTTTATGATTTAAGCTACAGTATAATATTGACTACTTACCATCAATAAAGCTTATCAGGAATGAGAGTTAAGGGGTGAAATAGTTGTGTAAAGAAAAGGGAACTAAATACAATTAAGAAGTAATTAGAGAATGCGACCTGTTGATATATAGGTGATCCATACTGTGAGGCTCTCAGGGATGACAGGGTAGAGAAAATGGAGCTCCAGAACACATCCTTCAGTCTGAGGACAAGGGGCTGTCATGTTGGCATCATACAGGTGAAGCTCAGGGCTCCAGGCCTGAAGGCTGGGCTCACATGGCTGGTAAACATCAGGAGGACCTATGGCATGTACACAAAGCAATAGACAGGGGCTCTCTTGAGCTATTGGTGTACCCCACCTGCATCTACTGCACATGGAGATGTCCATATTCGCTCTCATTTTTTATCAGAAACAATACACTTGACCATTATTGGCTGTCTGGACCTGCCTGTTTCTTCATTCACATTCTAATTAAATTAGATTGTGTTTCCCTCTTGCCTATGATTGCCTGGCAGGTCTTGAAACTCAGGCAAAAAAGGGCAAAAGAAAATAGCATTTGAAGTGTCTTGTATTTCAGTAAAGTAAACTAAACTTTGTATGGCCATGCCGACTTTTGATTTCAACGGTACAGTCTTTCTGGTTAAGATATGCTCACTGCTAAAGTATTATAATTCACATACTAAAATTGTTTTTAATTCACATACTAAAATTGTTTTTAATTCACATACTAAAATTGTTTTGTCATTGGCATTGACTGTAAACCAAGACAATCTAAAACATAGTCTGGGAAGTAGGCGCTGATTGAGAAATCAACATTTTAAACTGTATAGCCATTCCACAGGTCTATCTGAAACAGACAGGGACAATTGTGCTCAAAAAGGGGCAGGGCAGCAGTGACAAAATAATTTACATTCCAAGTGGTAATCTGCAGTCTGGGACAAAAGAAGCATGCTGTGCTCTCTACGGAACAGCGAGACTCTAGGAGGATCCCGCAGAAATCAGCATTCCTTAATGCTCACACATCTGCTTCTAAGCATGGGTAAAGTCACGATGTGCTTATGTGCCTTAATGTACAGATTTGTCCGGAATAAACAATTCAATGTCAAGTAAAACACACACACACAAATAAATTGGTGAGATAAACACTGAGCTGTCAATTATTCTATCAGTTGTGACCTCCTGTTTTCTATTTTGATGGAAGATTTTGATTTGGAAATCAAGCTGTCTCAACCTTCCCATTGTAGTCAGCTTTGCCTGAAACTCGTTTTTTTTCTGAATACTTGACAAGGATTACTGATTCAGATACATCTACTCAGACTTAAAAAAACATAAAAAATGTTATTGTGCCAAAGAAAACGCATAAGGAGCTGTGCAATAACATCACAATCTGCAGGTGTGAGTGAAGTGTGATGATTCCTATTCATGCAATATGTTCACAGATGCGTCAATTACTTCCTAAGCTATAATCATGCATGCATTTTTCTAACACACACTTAGACAATGTAGGTAGCTGTGAAAATTGTTCATTCATTTCTTTCTAAGTATTATTCATTTTTGTTACTCTTTTTTAAAATAGCTGCTATGATTCTTGTTTTTTCTGTCATATCATTTGTTAACACTATAATCACGACCACATTTTAGTAACTGGAGCCATCCCATAATTTTGCTACAAACAATGTTTTTTTTTCTTCTCTTTTTCCCACACGTTGGAAGAGAAGGATTTCCATGTATTACGTTCAGTTTGAAACAGTTTTAAAAAAAATGTTTGATATGCGTCAATTTAAGGTACTGCCCAGCCCAGCTTCACAGCATCCTGATTAAGATAATCAGTTACATCTGTTACATGAAGAATAATGTTTCAGTGAAATACTGGGTACACATTGATTTTTTAATGACAGCTGGATCTTGGACCTCTACTAGCATTACTAAACTATGGAACTATTTTGAGCACCTTGGTTTTAAACAGCACAAACAAGACGTTTTAAGGCAATTATTCCTTTTATGATTTATTTCTTTATACATTGTTTCCAGGCTTCCATAATCTTGCACGCACCTAGCTGACAGGAGAAAATTGAATCTTCCTCTATTATGAGACACTATTTAGTGCGGGCATCTGGCCAATGGATAGGTCCAGTGCTTTGTATCGTTGCTAATCAAAACTGAAAGTTTTGTTGTCGTTGTTGTTGTTATTGAGAAATGAGGAATAAATTAATATATTTAACATATTGCACAACTCCAAGAAAACACTTGGCAACATATAGCTTAATCTTAAAAAGAATGTATTAAACCAACATGTTGGAAGGCACTTTAAAGAGCAACAAAAAAAGAGTAAAGGAATCCCTTCCATCTAAGTATGCAGTTTCATTGCAATGCAATCCTGTATGTATGTGACAACATTCTTACAAGGTTTTTATTTACTTAGAAGTTGTGTTTTTGTCAGTAATATTTTTAGTAAAAAAAAAACTCCAGAATCTCCAGTTTCACTACGGTTTGTCTCTTTGGCAGCCATAAAATCAGCACTTTATGCTGCATTTGTTGTTTGTTTTGTTAATGGATGGATCCCAGCAACAACAGAACGAGATGGGAGAACAGAGGAAACAATCCATGATCAAATCTGAAACACAGGAAATCTGCAACAAGTTTGTAAGAGTTTACATAAATGTTTATTTGGATGGGTTTTTTTCCAATTAAAATTGCTGATTTATGGCGTCACTGACTGCAAGCTCTTATTGTAGCCCAGTGTTCTTGGATAGAAGTGAGTACATACAGCAGAGCTAGACAATGAGTACACACAGCTCGTGAAGGTATCAACACCCACACGGGTTGCAGGGTCTTCAGGCACAGTGAATTTAGGATCCTAGATAAGGTAATACATTTTACTGTCACTGTTTTTGGAAGTGACAAACACGCTTGTGCTCTATAATGGACTGGCCTCAGGGTGTGTCCCACCTTGTGAGAGTTGTTTGCCGAGATAGGCTCAAGGTCTCCTATGACCCTGAATCGGATGAAGCTATTAGAAAGTGGATGGATAAAATACCCTTGTTTCAGCACCTGTAAAAATGATATCCTGCATACATGTATGAACCATGGCACTGTAGCCTACCTAGAGCAGCTGGATTTGTATCTCTTGGAAGTAAAAAGGTGAACATTGTGTGTGCTGCCAAAATGCTTTTTGTATATGTGTATTCTGTGTTTAAAGTCTTTGATTAAAGCAAAACAGAAAGGTAAAGCTTTATAATAGGAAAACAGAAATGATTAAGTCCATTATGGCTCTTCCCATAAACAAACTCAGAAACTATTTTCCATGCAAAACATCACACGTTGATACTATTTGTGTTTCATCACAAATCACTTCGATGAATAAAAATTCAGAATCCATACACATTTCCAGTATCGTGAGAAAAAGATTCATGATGGGTATTAAAAAACTATTATCTTAGTATTTATTTTTCTCAACAACACCGGTAAGTGATTCGACTGGGGAATAAAATTGAAAGATCTACTGTAACTGACCAACAGCCTCTTCAGGAGTCCAGTAACCAGAGGAATCACAGACACGGGGGGAAGTTGCCCTGTGGGCATACTGGTGGAAGGATCCATCTTCCTCACAGTCTCCACAGTTGGTTCTGCCCTCTCTAAGAAACACAGAAGAATTCTAATCACAAGACAGATCAAAGTCTGTACTCTATTACATAGGGAAATGTAATAAAGAGAAGCTTTAGGGAAGTAAGCAAAATGTTAATTCAGTGTATACAGCTGCTATTGTGAAATGTTTACATACACATATCATTTACATTCTTTTATGATTGTTTTCTGAATGTGTCAATTCACTTAAATACTGTTGAAACTGCATTTTTGATGTAGCTTAAAAGCTGCATTTCAAAATATAATTCTAAAGTAAACACACTAATCTACCACAAGACTGATGATATTTTATAGCAATCTATTTGATGCAATTAAACTCAGGCTTTCAGAGATCCTTTTATTTTAAGGAAAGTAATGAGGCAATTGGTAATATAGAAGGGATTAAAACATCACAGCCACAACATCATGGGCCATTAAGAGAAGCTGTCTTGCATTTACTGTACATCTGCATTATTAACAAACAGTGACTCCAGTTTGGCAATTGATATTCCCAAACGACTGTGAAGTGAAGTCTTATACCTATGGTGTAGCATCCCATTCACAGGAGGCAACCAATGAATGGACACAGAATCTGGACTCTGACCAACCACCATGGGTGCAAGGGGCACAGGAGAGGGCTTTTTGCCATCAACCCAGTTCTGATACACCAAGTCCACATAACAATGCATCCGGGCAACCTGGTTAGGAGTAAAACTGTTGGTGCAGTTGTCATCTGAAACAAAGAGAAAGGTTGACAGATCTAAATCATTATACAGTACCTAGAGTTATAGCTCTCCTATGATGTGGATCACATTAAGAAATCATTTGAAAATGTAACTGCTTTTAAGATGTTGAAATTTTGAAGGTCAGTCTCCAAACAAACAGCAATCTCTGTACAGAGATATAGCGATATAGAGATATAGAGATTGCCTGCAGCAATCTCTATAGATTTGGGTTACCAAAATTCATTCCAGCTCCAAATGCTTTTACTTCAAGGCAAGTAAATGGCTCGAAAATGAGCTGAAAAGCAAAATAAAGAATGCTGTGCTCACTGAAGAGAAAATCAGATGTTTCATGGATTGCTTTAGCATTTCAGGTTGCTGTTATGGACAAATCATAGTCACACAATAAATAGAAAATAGTGCTTGACAGCAGTTACCTGTGTAACTCATGTAGTTATTGAATGGTGTTCCCTCAAAGACAGATAGGCCACAAGTATCATTGACAAGATCTGGGTCACGGCAGGATTTAAATTTTGGTGTGGGTGCCGTATCGGCACATAAGTCTCCTGTTTCCATTGAGGGTGTGATCTCCCGGCAGGGGTCATCACAAGACTCACACTCACTGACCCCTTTGAAAACATGATAAAGTCCTAAGATGTGTCCCATTTCATGAATCATGGTATTGTTGTGCCCAACAGTGCCAAAGTAGGATGGATTGAGCACCATTCCCCCTGAAAGCATGAAAAAACATTTTCAAAACCTTCAGAAAAAAGAGCAGAACTTGTTAAAAATTAACATTAGAAGATATACTGTAACTTATACGCATGTGTCAAATAAGATATGACTGACATTTTAATTAACTCGGTTAAAGCAGAAAATACTGGGTGTAGCTCAGGAAGTCAGAAAGTTAGAAAAGGGCTGAACAGCACTGAAAATTTATGGAGAATTAAGTTATGGAAAATAAGTTATTCAGAATGAATATACTGTTAAGAACATTGCAGCCCTACCCATATGGAAATCACCTGAAGTTTTCTGTAGAAATGTCCCATATCTGTGAAGAGACTCTATTTGTATAAGTATCTTGACAGAAATGGATTGAAAAGAGCACAGTAAATTATGTTGAATGCTGTGTATTGGATATTTTAACACTCCTATTCAGTACAGTAAACTCAAAATGAAACACTAAATTTGTTTCAGGTCCCTTTCCTTCCTATTCCACACACATGCTTGCATGAGTCTTGTAAAAATGCGTCCAACTTTTAATAAAATCTCTCAGAACTCATTATTACCAAGTGGAAGTGGGTTTACCTCTCTTGGTATGCTTGTAAAAGCTAGGGAAATTATGCATAATCCCTAAAAGAAGCAAATATGTTAATAATATTTCTTCTTTTTTTCCTTAGTAGGACTCTATTAAATAGGCTATAAAATGCAAAGCCAAAAACAACAGGCGTGTATTTAGGATATGTTTTTTCGCTCTACCATTAGAAGAAAGATTTTTAACATGATCTGTATTTGAGAAAGAAGAAACCAAATGATTTGTAGTAGCAGTGTAGTAACTACCGAACTTTTAAAATTCTGAAAATCTGAGGATTTGACATCCTCTTTCTTCTACCTCTCCAGAAAACTTTGCATTTGCAAAACTGGTCAGATGTCAGGAAGAATTCAGAATTATTTGAAGAACACAGCTTTACAAACCTAGATAGTCTTACAAGCAATAGGAAAAGAAGAGTAAATGATGAAGTAAGGAATCTTAGAGATAATGGAAAATGTTTAAATATTAAAAGCGAATATATTAAATTAATATGTCATTAGGTGTCTACTGAGGAAGAAATTGATAACATGTTTCAGGTTCAGCAGAGAGAAAGTTCTAAATTAAATAGTATAAGAGCATAAGTTGATAACAGTGTTACAAGTATTAAAAGCACTTAAAATAAATCTCAGGGACCTAGAGGTATTCTATCAAAAGTAATTATGTAAAAAAGAATTGTTATTCACAAGGTATTCAAAAACTCTTCCAATATTTATTTATTAAGACTGGGATAGTTTCTAGACTGGAAAATCACGAATATTGCAACCATCTGTAAAATGGCTGACAAAAACCGAACCAAGTAAACACCAATAAGTCTTACTTCTAATATATAAGGTATATAATAATTAGAAGAAAGATAGAGAAACATAATTTTGGCAATAGGAATCCATGGAACAGTTAGTTTTAGATGATCAGATGATTTAGAAATGGTCATGGTTTACTAACGTTTTAGGGTTCTTTGAACAAGCAACAGTAAGGGACATCAACAAGGCACATTGACATGGTATATTCAGCATATAAGAAGGCATATGATGTTTCTTATCAGAGATAAATTATTAAATTACTGGCTGTTACGCAAGATTTTAGATTGAGAATTGGCTAATGGTTCAAATAATGATTCAAATTGGTGGAGTTCCACAGGTATCTATATTAGGACCATGGCTCTTCTTAATTTTTACTTATCTAGATCCTGATATGGTTAATAAACTTGTCATATTCACAGCTGTACCAAAAGAGAAGGATTAGAAAACACTGTAGAGATGGAAAACATGCTCTGGCATTTGTGTAACTTTAAACATTCCCCTTTCTGGAGAAAAGACCCAAATCTAGTCAATTTTCCCTCATTATTGTTTAACATTTTTAGAACTTATAACATAACCAGTTGGTTAAATAAAATTCTAAATTAGGTTTTGCTAATCTACCCAGAATATTCTGTTTAACCAGAAATGGTGCTCAACGGGAGTTAGGTTTACTGTTGCTTTCCTCTCCTAATCTAGAGCCCCTTCCTACCCAGGTTCCTTCTGTCTAAATCATGATGGGATTCCTATTGGCCTCAGACAACCACTCCCACCCAAGAACCTCTATCGTCTATCTCGCATCCTAGATGAAGAACTTGAACTAAGGAAGAACTAGAACTCCTAACCATGGAGTATGTATCGGGGAGACCTAACTGTGCTCTTCCCTACCTCATCTTCCCTTCCATAACCCTAGAGCAAACCATCTTCTCAGAGAGTGCTCTCCAGGTGGCTAGCCGTAAACACAGGGAGATCTAAACGTGCTGCTTTCCTCTCCTGGCCAACCATCATTTGTAATTTTGCTCATGTTTTGTTCTTATTTTCTTAACTTGACCTGCTGGAGTCCTATGGGTTTTTACGCCTATTCAAGAGCGATGTTCACTCCTCTTTGGTGGATAACACTTCTACTGGCAGGCACCGGGAGATGCCATCATCCCACTGCTACCACTATATACAGTATACCAGGTGCGAGCATCATGGCAACCTGCCACCTGTCACTCATCGTCCAAATCTCATGGCGTCCCAGCTACGCAAATTTCATGTGGCATTTAAGCTGACTTGCAGCTGGAATTTTCTTCCATGATCTCAGTACTTCACTACATGGAAGACTGCTTCCTATGTGGAAGACTGATCAACCGTAATATAAACAAAGATTTTGCTCTAACTTGGAGTCTCCTTTAAACCATTGGCAGAGAGTGTGAGTTGAGCCTTTAACCTTAAAGCCACTCTCCTAAATCACCTAAACCAACAATACCCACTCAGGTTGATAGCTGGTTCATTACAGAATGTCATAAATCGATCAAAAGAGGTTCATTTTTTAAACTTAAAATCAGCAGGTACAGTATTAAAGTATTAAAATAATGCTGATGCCAGCCCTAATGCTGAATAAAAGAACATAATTTATCGTCCAATTTAAATATGTACATCACTCAATTATTCTGTTTTTTTGCCATGGTCTGTGAACACACCATGAATTTAATTTTGATGTCATAAAAAGCTACAGTCATATCATAGAAATTGTTAGAAGAGAAAACTGTTTTGATCTCTTCAGTGTTACAAATTAATTTGGGCAACTGCAGGAACCCAATGTAAGGAATGCTCTTTTTTATGACAGAGCATCAGGACAGTGATGTTCTGGGTTCTAATTCTTTGGGTGTGACAATGAAACAAAAGCATGTGACAATATTTTCATTTTGTTATAATAGACAGGTACAGTATAGCATGTATAGGATTCAGATCCCTTTGGAATTACAACATGAAACTGCTGTTTAACTGTTCAGCAAAAGCATAGTAATAACATGAACAATAAACTACTAGTATTAATTTTAAAATGGTTCATTAATTTTAAAATGGGTTCAGGCGAAGAACATCTGAATTAACAAAAGAACACCTGAAGAAGGCTCCAGTCGAAACGCTCTTCTCCTTTCAGCATGGAATAAACCTATTACTTGTTCCTTAATTTTAAAATTTACACTATACTTGGATTCACAAATGCTTATAAACAATGGCATTTTCTATACCCGAAAGATTACCAACTACAAGTAAAGTCTTTCCTTGTACTTTTGAACTGAGAGGGAATAGAAACATTCAATGCAAGCTCTCATAGAGATCAGAATAATTGAGCAACAACTGAGGCATTTAGAGAGCGGAGACCTAGAGAGTAGGGAAACCTGATGCAGTTGAGGATACCCTACAGGGGTTTCAGGCCTTTATAAAGGAGCTGGACCAGAGAGAAGTCTGAGCTTTAATGAGCACTAAAACACAGCACCAGTTAAAATAACAAAATAAAAGCAGGAGACCTGGCAAATGTGTGTATATGGCAACAAGGCTAATCCTTTTTTTATAGATTGAAGAGTCCTAGGGCTTGAGGAGAGATTGTGATGAAAAATACATGCATGCTGAAAATGTTTCCTGTTATACTTTATCCAAGTTTTCTGCTCATTATGTTCACAGTGGATATTAAGGCAAATTGAATAAAAACCACTGCCCACCAAGGTTCACAGCCACTGAAGCAGAACAAACAACTGACGTAGAGACTTAAATGTCCTCATCTAACACTACCACACATACACAAATTCATACTGTATTAGATTACAGTTTCTAAACATTTGAGGGATTTAGGCACTGGACCTCATTCATAAAGATTTACTAAGTGTGCGCAAAAGTCACCTGTAAGCAGTATTACATTAGATGTCTGTAAGCAGGTTTATATTAACAAAAGGATGTGCCCTTAATGTAGACTTGTGCAATAGGAATCATTAAATATGATCAGCACAAAATCAAAAATGTCTAAGTAAACTGTATGTGAACCTTAATCATAGGTCATAGAAGAAAATATTCCATATAAGATGGTACTGTATATCTGAACACAAAAGACAACTAAACTACACTGTGTTTAACATGATATGTTGATATTAAGAACATATGGGGACATGTAGGAAGATGGTTTATGAATCCTCAATTTCCAAGAAATGAGAATATTTATCCAGTTGTCAAGCTTACAGTATGTGCGAGTATGAGCTGTTTCTATTTAAGATAAGAGTATGCAACGTTTAGGAGAAAAACTGTTTTTGCCTTAGGTTGAGCTTCGGCAATCCAGTAACAAAATAATATGCATGTTCTGTAAAAATATCTTACCTATTTTGATTTAAAAACTGAAAAAATAAATAATTGTACAATTAAAAACATAGCTGTCTTTTTCAAATAGTACTATTTAAAGACTCTGAACCAAAGACTCTGGTCCAGAGGTTTCGAAACTGGATCATATCGCCCAGAAAGGTGAAGGTGGCAAACTTTGATTTTTACTTGAGTTTCCAAGATAATTAAAACAATACAGAGAATAACAGCCTCAGCAAGGAAGTAGACCTTCATCAAGTTCAAATAAGAGACATGAGACCATATCACATTTGGTCACAGTGTGTGAATGTAGAAGCAGACATTTCTTACCCTGGTGACTGAGTGCTTCCTTTGCCCAGGGCCATGTGGCAGCTCCTGCCAGTTCCTCTCGGACTGAGTTACTTGCAAAAAACACATTGAGATACTCTGAGCTGCTCAGCTGTGAAATATCCTTTAATTCCTTCACACTCATATAAGCCCTGGGAAAAAGAAAAAAAAAAGGGAGAGTTTTACCATTGATCATGATCATCAAATACATTGTTTCTGACTATTGCCTTCTAGATAGCACAGTGATAAACTGGGTTGCAAGTTAAGCCAATATAGAAAATGCATGTACTGTATTTGTATGCAAACTAAAATTGAAAATGTGATTTTGAAAAGCCTTCTTACCTTAGTTTGAACAAAAGACACTGGATTGAACAAAAGGGCATCTAGTCTGCTAATCAATTAATTGAGTGCACTCCAAAGCCAGGTTATAGACTCTTGCAAGGTCTCAGCTTTAGTACAATTATATCTGAAATGATATCTTTGCTCTGTACTGAATTTTTAAAATGCAATTATTCCACCTTAAATTTAACAAAACCAAAAGAACATAATAATATCTACATATGTGGTGCATCAAAAGAAATATATAATTTAGACTGGCAACAAATTCACTGTCATTTTTATTATCACTGTCATTTTATTATTGTCATTTTATTTATTATAACAATCTTCCTTGGAACAGGTGCACTGACGTTTTATTGAACAGACATAACAAAGATAAATTGTTTGTTTGGAGTCTGAATATATTACCAGAGTGTCTTTGCTATCTTTTCAATTTTTGTATTCTTCACAGTTCTCTTCCAGATTCAAGATTCATACACCATTAAAGTGTGAAATTTCTATCTTGAGGGATGTTGATTTGTCACACTATTACTCTGTCTTCTTATTCTGATTTATGTCTTGTTTGTCTTGTAGAAACCAAATCTGAACACACTTATGTTGCTAAGTCACTGAACAAAAATGTGGAGCACAGGAGTACTGTATCTTTATCTAGTGTTTGTAATACCATGGTATGGTTTGACACCTTTTAGGGACCTGTGTATTGACGTGTTTTTCAGCCACTAAGCTATTTCTGCATGACTCAGGTATTAATTTAAACTTTGTGAAGATATCATGTCCTGACTGTCATTAGAGATCTTGGGGAATTCCTGCTGAGCCCTTGATTTTGGTTTTCTTCTTGAGGCCTATTTTCAAATGTTCTTTCAGCTCTTAGTTAATTGGGATAGTGTCATTGGTATTATCTACATTAATTAGTGAGTTTCAGAATCTCCTCCATTAGGGTGTGTTATCTGAAATGTGACCAACTGGATTTCAGCAGAAGGATGTTACAACCTGTAAAACCAGCAAGAGCTCACAATGCACAGTTGCCATGGGGGATAGGAATATTCCCATGAGGAATCACCATCATCCGGGTGCTCAACGAATGCAGTTCGGGCCACTATTTGGGCAGCTCCTCCCTCTACCACTCAGGCACCCATTCAATCATTCATCCCATGCCTATTTAATCCTGAAGTGCCATAGAAGGTGGCTCATTCAGCTACATGTTGCAGTACTGACATCAGAACAATCACCACTGGATGTGCTGGAAGTCTCTCTATGGGTTGCTAACCAAAACTGGTCTACACTGTAGCCATCAAACTCATTTTCAACCCTAGTTGGCAGCAAGCCAGCCGTTACCCAAGTCAGTAGCCAGCCTCTGCTGCGACAACATCAGCTGCTGCCCCTGTTGACAGTCGGCTTCAGCTTCAACTACAACCATCTCTCTGGTCCACCTTTACCTTACAGCCAGTTCCTGAACCAATCCGCTGTGGTCTGTTCAATTTTACCAGGCCACTGTAGTTCCTTTGGCTTCACAGCCTGTCAAGGGTCTTACAGCTGGCTGGCATTCTGCCTGTCTGGCTGCTGTGATCCCGAGACCTTCATCAGTCTGCAATGGTCTTTTCAGTGTCCCTAGACTGCTACGAGTCGGCAGCCAACCCCTGCTGCCACTTCTTCGGTACTCTAGTCCTCTGCACTCAGGCTGCCAGTCCCCGTGCCGGCCTGCTGTGGTCTCTGCAGGATCCCACTCTGGCAAAGCTTCAGCAGCACCACCGGTCAGCTGTCAATATCTCCGAGACGCCCTGTGGCAACCTCTATGGCTCTGTTGCTCAACAACACACCAGCAGCCAGTCTGAGCTCTTGTTAAACTGAGACCTCAACAGCTCACCAGTCCAAGAAAAGTCGGCAACCCATTACTGCTGTGACTGTTTCAGCTCTGCCGGATCGAGTACAGTTGACGAGTGGCGGCTGCGATGACTGTCATGGTCACTTCCAGTCCATTACCACCGTGGCGATTCCATCTACCACTCAATAGGTCATCCCCTCAGCCTTTGGCCTTCTCCAAGGAGCTCAGACGTCAAAATGTGGATAATTTCGGGAACATCCAAATTTCCCAGAGTCCAAGTACTTGGAATCCAACCTAAACCTCGCTGTAAAGCCACGGCACAACAAAGGATAACTATCTTCATTTGCTTTCTTCATTTCTTCAAAAGAGACCCAAGTGCAGAAAAACATCTAAACAAGACTGTAGATTAGCTAGAGGCATTAATTAGCACTGGGTGGTTAAGGCTCAGTTGTATCTTGCAGACACAGGGGTCTCTCATGACCTGCACCGAGAATAACTGGCACGATTTAGTAATTATGATGTTGATTATTATTAATAATAATATTGTAGCGCCCTCATCAGGCATTAATGGGGCACCGAGCAAACGAGCAGTGGAGCTGATGATGTCATCCTGGATGCTGGGATAGATGGGAAGTTATCTGGGATAGTCGGGAACTATCAGAGACAATGCTAACTCTTGGGACAGGGGGAAGAACAGGTGTTTGTGTACATGATATGCATGTGTCCCATGTTTCCCCATCCACTGTGATCTTAGGATTCCATTCTGACCTTCATGGGCTTTGTCAGTTGGAACCCCCTACCTTTACTCTATGCCATAATTGGCTTTCTTCTTACTGGCTGATAGCAGACCTTTTAAGGATACTGAAACTATGATGTTCTATTTAATGAGAGAACACTTCCATTCCCACTCTTTGCTGTGTTTATTGCCCACCCTACAGAATTACTGTTATTAATACTTAGAATATTATATTTTCGTTGCATTCTGTTGAGTCAATGTCTTTTTTTCCCGTTTCGATTACATATGTTGGCATATTTGACGAAGAAGAATAAAAAACAATGATATTTTCAGAAAACTTAACAAGGATGATGTCAAGGCATTTTCTGTTTTGTTTTTGTTGCTTATAAAAAACAAGCATTCATGCTTTTTCTGGCCTGATTTTCTCACTTCTAGGAAACAAGGAAAGATGCTCAAATGGCAGACAATTTTAGTGTTGACAGCTCTGCACAAAAGTGAATTTGACAGGGAGGCACAGAAGGGGAAATGGTGAGCATTAATTTGTCTTGTTAGCAAGGAGTCCAATTCAAGGAAGTAAATCTTTGGGGAAAATGCACAAGGATAAGCACTGGACAGTAGTCTAATATCCAGATATCCAATACATCTGTAAAAAAAAACTCATATCAAGATTTGTAAAAGCAGCTAGGAAGCAAAACATTTTTGGTGAAAACTGTAATGAGATGAAAGGCAAATTAGTCACCCCCATGTTTTTGTTACAAAAAGGGATTTCAATGGGTTTGGCCCTCGGATGAAAAATTACTTTCCCTCAACATGGGTGTCTAATGTTCAGAAAGTGTGTTGATATGATCAGCTTTTGTTACTTATTTGAAAGACGGAATAATTGGAAACTGAGGGATAACACGCCAAAGGTTCTAGCCCATTAGTTTAACCACCTGCTGTTTCTTGGAGAGTTTCCATCTTTGTACTGATCATACCTAGTCCATCTTGACTTTGGAGATTGAACAAACAAATATTCAGCCAATCGACATCAACATTTCAATACCATAAATCTTTTGGATTGGTATATAAGCCATCTAATGGTTCAGATAAATAAAATTATATATATATAATTATGAAATGTTAAAGGAATTTTATTTTAATATTTGTAGTTTTTTTAAAGGACAAAAGTTACGTATTGTGTTTCAATTTTTTTTTTGTAAACTATCCAGTAATGAAGACGCCAAGACTGAATCATATAAATTCACACATAATTAAGACAAGTAAGATTAGAATGACTTTAGCTAAAAATGGTGCCTGTCTGATCAACAATCAGCCAACACATGCCAATACATTAGGTCATTCATGTCAGGACAGCCGTGCTAGGAAAGAGAAATGGGTAAACAATGCCTTTGTGGAATGCATAAAAAAGAACAGCAGTCGTTTTAACATTCAGTTTGAAAAACGTTGTAATTCACATTCATCTGTGGCCTGTCAGTAGTTTTCCACTGATCTGTGGGGTGCCTAAAGCTTCATTTTTCTGTTGACTGCTGCATGTGGTGAGTACATTGCAAAAATAATGTCTTCTGTTCATGTTCCAGTCAACTAAAAAGGGACATGACAAAATCCCTATCTGAACTGGATTTTGAACTTCGATTTTTAAGACCCTTTAAACGACCTAACTCCCAAAACGTCACACAACCAATATTCCAAGTAATCTTATTTTACTGCTGCAAATAAACTCTTAGTAAAATGACAAATAAAATACTCACAGCTATATAGACACATATGTAATTAATGCAGTTTCACTGATTTGCTTACATCTTCAAGCTAACAAGCCACATTCATAACTAGCTTCATCTAATCTTTTTTATAGTCCAAGGTTTCAAATGAGCTGCCAGGAGCCAAGACAAATAATGCAGACCCAACATTTTTCCCCTGGCTCAAGAAAACAGTATTTCTGAATAAATAATTTTCAACCTGAAAGACTTTAAATAAATAAATGTTTTTCTTGCATGGCTGCCCTGGATGTTAGTGGTAAACTACCAGACAGGTTATTTTTCAAGCTTGTCACCCCTTTTGAGGCCTACTAGTAAATTTTAGGCTTTAACATGAAGCACCTTTTTTTAAAGAATGGAAAGTAAGAATAATAATTGGTCTGATTATAAATTAAAAACATTTAGTTATCACATTTAATCCTCTCTAACACTTCATGTTACATTTGGCACTGACTGGTCCTTCTGAGGAGCATTGTAAAACACTCCATTCCACAGCATAATTGTTCTTTCCTGTAAAAACCCAAGGTATGTGAACCGCACTTTTTAGTTAGAAATAATAATGTAGTACGAATACCCTTGAAAGTCAATGAACATGTCAATGTATACACCTACTGTATAAACTGATCTTATAGCTGCATTACGTCACAGAATTCAAAGTAACATGTATCACTAAATAAAATAAAAACAAGAATGAAAAATCAGACAAGGTTAGAAATACTCCATGGAAGTCACCACTTACAGTAAATACATTAAAACTGTACAGTACTACAATTCTATACATACTGTATTCATTTGGAGTATCACTCATTTTTTACAATAAAGATGCTTTTTGCAAAATCTGACTAACTTTTTGACCATCACTGTGACTAAAACTGAGACAATGTTTAAAATAAACTTCATTCCAAAATGAAAACCATGACAAGAATTTGATCTCCAAAACTGAGAAATAAATAAACGTCCATAGATAAAGACCCTATAAGATTGGTGTGTGTCTTTCAGTGTCACTGCCAGACTGGAATCTCTTTTTGCTATTAATCATTGAAATTAATTAAAGTAATTTAAAGTAATTGAGCATCCAAACCAAAGAATACTTAATTCAGGTTGATTTTTTGAAAGCTGTAATTTTATTATTGTATTTGTATAACAAAATAAACTGAAAAAATTTTATCCCATTGTTTCAGGTTTACAGCCCTTAATCCTACATTTTGGTGTTTTGTGCCAAAATCTGACCTCTTACTTCTGGAAATGTCCTCTTTGCTGGGGATTACATTGCTTTAACAATATTTTGCAATAGATCATTTAAGGATTCCAGCCTCAGATATCTGAGCAAATTAGATCAGAAGTGAAATGGTAGAAATAGTGGATTTCTTTTCCCAGGCAGGACAAGCAACAACATCAAAAAGTCTGAAAAAATGCCATTTAAATGTCATTTTTGTACTAATTTTCCTTCACCTTTGGACCTAGTTGTGATTGGTTCTCTTGCTGACGCATCAAGAGAACAGTGAAGATCTGTTCTTCTGAAGATACATTCTTTGGAGCTCTAGCAATTGACAGAACAGGTCTTACTGAATGTTCGTGGTATGCATTCCTCCTAATTAGCACATCAGCTTTAATAAACTAGAGGGGTCAAGTTAAATTCAGCTATGCAGTACTTAAAAGAGTTCTTTAAGTTTTGCCTTATTTGATTATAGGCTGTATATTCAAATGGAACCAAAATAAAGGAAGTGTATCTCTGAATTTGCTAGCTGATTGCCAGGAATGAATACCTTCATCCTGGCATGTGCCTCAGCCCCCCTCCCCCCTCTCCCCTCGTGGGGCCTGGCTCTTGAGCTGCTGTTGTACTCTTCAAAGGATTAATGCAAGGCAGCCCTGAGCAAAACAACAGCCATGTGGCCAAGTGTTTTCGGACTCCTGTCCAAATGTATCACTGGGGCCCAATTCATCTCAGCGGGAATCCTTTGAGACAGATACAGAACTTGGTGCTCCAATTTAAAAAAAAAAACTATGCCACTCGCTTTACAATGACAGTCTCACGACAATAAACAAAAACAAAACGAGAGGTAATGACAATGTATGAGTTGACCTTACCTCTACAACTCTCTATGTTTTGTTTTAATTTCTACTACAATGTATAAAACTAATAAGAAATAAATTAACTTCATATTACTTAAAAATTGTTGTAATTTGTTGTAAGATTATACTGTATACGAAAAAAGAAAGATATAGATAGGGAACCTTTCATCTGTGGGCTTGTCATTTCAATTATATATAGGAGAGAAATATTTACCTTTGTTAATTCTGATATAGTGAACACAACAAAGAGAGATTTGTAAATATATAAATAATAATGTGACACTTATTCTGAATATTTTTGAAGAATTTAAGGCAAGAAAGACTGAGATACCAAAATGTTTACCTTCTCCCAAATCCTAATATAGAGCATTTTCACTAAAGTGTCTAATTTGCACTATATACTTGCACAAATGCACTATATACTTTTTAAATTATGCTAGTTTGCAATAACATGTTCTGTCTTGTACACTCTGTATTCTAATCTTCTTTAATCTGGGACTCTGTTGGAATTCCTAAGAAAAAAAAAAGATTCTTGCAGCATAATCTGTTCCAGATCTCCATCAATTACTCTGAAAGAGTAATATAACATATTTTAGGATCTTCTTTAGCATATCTCACAGAGAACATTACTTCTGAAATGTAACTACTACAACTGAAATGTAAACTCTTTCACGCTGTCATGCTTCAAACGCTTCCAAAATGCTGAGCATTTATCTTAATTTTCTGTCAGTAATGTACTACATACATGAACAAATAAAATACATGTTCCTATAGAGTTCGATAAGACATACACGACACAAAATGCTGTAATTGAAAGTGTGTCCTTCGATATTTCTCAAACTAAATGAACATGGATTTAGTAGGCAAGACACCACTTGGCAGTTTGAATCTTATAACCTACTGTAGGTACTATACCAACAGTCTGACCAAACAATAGAAACCCCTGCAACCTACTGGGTTTCTGTAATCTTGTAGTGACGTCGTTGAGAGATACATACTGTACAGTATCTTTTATGATCAGTATTAACTGACCCGTGAAGCACTTTTCAGCTTGCGGAAAAGAAGAGCTACTGTATGAACAGATGCATATACTGTAGTGGACTTGTTGAAGGAGAGCATTCAAAACCCAAAACTTTCTTTCCCTGCCAGTCATACACTGCAAACCCAGTTCTTAGGTTTAGTCAAGGATCAATAAGTTTGCAATTTTCTGATGGCAGCTGGGGTCACAGCTTTAATGTGATGTTTGTCTTTTTCATGTGTATCACAAATGCTTGTTTAAGGATACACTTGGTTATTGAATACATGCTTGCAGACATATTCATAGTAACGTGGAGCCTTCTTCAGCTCACACCTGAAGAAGGCTCCACGGCCGAAACATGTTTTCTTTCTTCTTTTTTTCAGCATGGAATAAACCTATTACTTGTTCACTCACATTATAGCGCTGCGTACAGTACGTCTTTTAGTGATCAGGAAAGGCAAAAATGTTTGGAAGAAAAACTGTTTCCGATAACATATTCTGTGTTCAAAACTCATCAGAAGATAAGTTAAAATAAAAGGTTAAAGAAACAAGAACTTCATTTGTACTGCTAAATAAAGACTAAAGCAAAAAAAGTAATATTGGAACATCTTATGTTTTCTGTTAAATTTGTGAGTCAGCTGCCTGCTTCTTAAGATGAATAGAAAGGAGACCTCTGCTTTTCTTGTTTAAGCATGTTAAAGTGTATATTTTGGCTTCTCCTTCCATTCCAGTACATTCCCACATGCTTTTTCTTACAGTCCTATCCTTTCAATTGATAATCCACTGTGTTCTGCAGAACAAGATACCCCCACAAAGTAAAATGAAATAACACTTGTTCTTTTCCCATACACACTCTAGTATACCTAGCAATGCCCTAGTACACACTGAAAAAAATGCCATGATTCACAATTCACTATTTCCTATGGCATTTGGGAACAAACGATACTGACATTAAAATTCTTACCTATTCAATGACTCTGGGTCAAAGCAGGTTTTCATGATATCTGTGATCTCTGGGTCACAGCAATCACCATCATCAAAATCATACCGCATGCTATTGCACTCCATGTTGCAAACGCCATCTCTCTTTTTCCAGTTGTAGCAGGGCCCTAGATGGAGACAATCACCCCCATCATGACCAGTCAGAGGGTGGTCACACTCAGGGTCACAATGACGGTTGCCAATCTTGGTGGTCTCACAGTTGCTCAAGATGATGCGCTGGCGGAGAGAGGAATTTCTCACATTGTGAACTGTTAGCTCCCAGCTTATATTGTAGGGCTGAAACGCTTCATGCAGAGCCTGGTGCTGAAGGTCTATTTGCTCCTGTGAGACGGTTGGACTTGTCCCATCGTCATTGCAGATGTTCACAATCCTGTATCGGATCCTCTTTCCTGTTCTCAGTGACCAGTGGCTATTGTAGCTCAGGATGACATCTGTATTGTCACAGACTGTAAGCCCACATTGAGGAGGAAAAAAGGGGGATATAACCTCCCTTTCTGGAATGGCAATAATTTGCAACCGCGGGCGGCTATGTTCTTTGTAGGCCACCCACTGCCTTTCAATGTTGGAAAAATCACCTTTGAGTTCCAGAAGTGGTTCTTCGTCTTCTACTTGAGTGTAACCCAAAGAAAGGTCTTCGTGAACACGGGGGCTGCCCCAGATAAGAATCCTTCCTATGTACCCACGGAAATTGTGGCCAAGATCAGACTGGTCACCTCCAAGAAGAAATGTGCGGCAAATGCTCATGAATGGACTGTACAGATCACCTGTCTGCTCACCACTTTCGCCCACCTTAGCGCCATTCACAAATAAGGTCATCTGGTAGCCATTATAGCTGATAACTACGTGCGCCCAGGAGTTAGGTTGGTAACGCTGGTGCCCGATCACTGTGGTGGCCTGGCGGGCGCGATCAGTACGGAGTGTGAAGACGAAGCGAGCATCCTTCCTGCCAGTCGGTTCCAATGAACGAATGCTTAATGACCAGCCTTTGTCACTCAGGGAATGAGAGCAGTTGTCAAAAACTCCTGTACGTGTACAAAAAAGAAACAGCATTTTTATATATATATACGGTATGTATATTTATGACAGACAGATATAGATTTAGGAGACCAAGACACAGAAAGCCAAAACAAATCGGTAATTTATTTACTAATGTGAAGAAAACATTCAGTTTGTGACCCAAAAAAAATGAGGTCCAAACCTAGTGCTTTATGACTCACACCCCACTTATATTACCCCTGGTGCATGTCGACTCTCAATATAGCAAAACATGAATGCATCTGAATGTAGAGTCAGAAATGGTTAAAACAGTTTTACTAGATTTACTTTATTTAATTCCTGTCACTTTTTACGATTGAGTTGTTTATATTTGCCATGGGATTTTGGTTCCTGCCTGTGCCAGACAGAAGATCGGAATGAAAGGGGCAGTTTCATAGTTCTTCAGCCCAAGGTGCATTTTGCTAGGAGGCTGGATAAGCAATCATCTCTCTCCAGGTGGACAAAGCACCATGATGTCATGCTTGTTATTTTGGAACCCTTCCACCTCTGAGGCTTAGCTTGCAGGACAAAGCTAAATAGCATTGCCTCCTTTCTTGATCTCACTGCTACAGTTTTTACAGTCAAAACTTCCCTTTTAATTTCTGTGATAATGTTCCTCAACATTCCTCACAACGAATAAAGTCAAATGTAGTTTTGCTTCTTATCCACAATGTCTTGGTTTAAAATCTCTCTACTACAGATTTTCTTTATATTCTAGCTCTCGCTTTTCATAAGAAACGTTCGGCCCCCTAAATCGCTTTGTGTAGTTGCTAAACCTTTCAACATACTGTGATGCAGATTGTAGTGTGTATGATCTGTTGGCCCACAAAAATAATTATATTATTACCATCTGCTTTGTATATCATTCCACTGTTTGGACTAGTACAGCATCAGAACCATGAGAGCAGCCTTTATAAAATGAAAACACTGACTGGAAGCATGAATACTGAAATCAATAAAAGCAAACACGTATTGCTTTTATAATACTGTCCTCACAAATTGCAAGTATTTCATTTGGAATGGTTCTGCTGCAGAGCCTGTGGAATACTGGAACAGATTTATTTCTTATTGTGTCGTATTATTTCACAATTCTATTGAATATTTTGAGATAAATTGCCCATTTGTAAGAAAAGTCTGAACCACATGCCTAGTTATGTGTTATGTGACAAGTGCAATTAAATATACCAATATCACAATTATGGAATATTGTTATATGTAGTGTTTATGATCTGTAACATCTAAACCTATATTTTTTCAAGTGGATTTCCCACACCAACTACAATATGAGCATGTAAAAGTACAAAAAATGACCACTCTCCTCCTTTAAACTGTATAGATAAATGTTCATACATTGTATAATAAACAGTTTATGCCATCTCCTATAATGCCGTTCCATCTAGTATCATAAAAAACATAATTGATACTCTGTGGTTGGCATACACTTCAGTAATTCAGCCTATTCCTTAAAATATACAAATAGGAAACATGTATTACCTGATTTATTCTTTTAAAACCCACCTGTTTCATTTAAGATTCTGTTTTTTAAAGTATAGGGAAAAGAAATCTTGCATGAAATGTATACTGTACGAATTTAACCTTAACGAATATGTCAATTATTAATAAACATAGTGGAGGTAATTCGAGAGACCTACCGTCTGTGCTCCCATAACGCTTAAGGTTTGTGCGCTGTCGTTGTGCTTCTGGTTATTTTTATAAATAGGGTTATACAGGGTATTTGCATTACAAAGACAGCAGGCGATACAGTGAAAACGCCACCTTTGCCTTATTCCAATACACCGAAAGCGATTCGTTAAAATTCTGATGACATTAAATTACTTTTTATGGGTATTAAAACAACTAAATAACTAGATAATCGAATTAGTTACTACTGCTACAAAGAACTAAACAAGCTTTAAGGAAAAAGTCGTTTATAACCTTTCTTGGGTTCTAATGTACTGTAAATGCCGAATTATTTGGGAAAGGTCCCGTGGCTTTGTTCCCCCTAAGAGAAATACAGTATATGTCTAGGGTTCAAAAAGACTCCAATTCGCGACAACAAGAAGAGTAATTGAAAGCACCCCTTCTGTATTCTGAAATTATCCTGATAAGCGTGTACTGCACTTCTTTAATGAACTGGTTACGTACTGTACACTACTACAGAGTTTTGCTACACACCCTCTTTTACCTGTGTATTTCCATAAAACGTGAATATTATTGTTTTAATTTTTTACACTTTAATTTCTAATATCCCTACAGTGAAAGAAAATAATAATGGAGCCGTTATTTTAATATTAATACTACTACTACTATTATTATTATTATTATTATTATTGTTGTTGTTGTTGTTGTTGTTGTTGTTGTTCTTGTTAATAATAATAATAATAATAAGCAATAGTACAAAATGACAGTTTATCCTGAAGTTTGAGGTATTAATAAGTACGTCAAATCAGTGTCACGTTTATATCTTACCGCAGCAACGGTCAGGTTGTAATTGCTTGTTAAAAACGATCTAGAACAGTGAAGCACCTGGTGGAAGTCAGCGGCGTGGTCGTGTGCAAATTGCCGTATCAAAAACTCACCATTGTAAAGTGAGCTATACAATGACATGTGGAATTTAAATTAACATGACAAGCAAAGGGAGCCATAATGCTCCATTCAACGTCTTATAAATGTAAGGCAAGCACTTGTGGAAAAAATGGGTAAGTTATCTGAATCATGTGTAATTGTGAGTAATTGGTATCACAGACCTATTGGTATCAGATCTAGCAGATCTGAAAAGAATAGGCAAAAATTGTTCGAATCCTATATTGCAAATATTAAGGCAAATAACTAGTTAGATTTGTAACAGTAAATTATAATTCATATTTCATAGAAATAACAGCAACGGACATTTATACCGTACAACAATACTGAAATTGTCAATCAATTTCTACTGCAATACATAATGCAAATGAATCAAAACAAATCTAAGCCTTCAGAATTTATATAGTATATACTGCGTATCAACTGACTTTAAACAAATCTATTTCTGAACATTAAATATCTTTTTTTGCCCAAATATTTATTGAAAACATTAAATTGTCAGGAAGAAAATGTGATTTTAATTCTGGCATGTACTGAAACATACAGTATGTGTTTGTAAAGTATTGTCCAAAACCCTCAGCTTGATTGATAAATCTGTTGTGCAATGTGCACTGCACGTGAAGCTGCTAAGATCTCAAATACCTCTTAAAAACTTGTTAAACAATGCATACAAGAGAAAGGTTAAATAAAGTATTCTTCTAATGAACCAGCTAATTCTCAGCTGCTCTCCAAAGCCTGCATCTTCATATGGTTTCCAGATGTACTGGCTTTTGCAGGGCAGCGCAAGGTCAGGAAACACCCCCCAGTCTCACCCCACGCACCCTCTATGAAAAAGAGCAGTAAAAAAAGTCACACAAAAAGCATTTAGTGAAACATATTTATCAATGCAAGTCATTCTAATGCTAGAAACAACCAGAGATGTCATTCATTTGTTTTGATGGCTTGGACACTTTTTGCCTGCCAAAAGGTTTTATTTGAGTCCGCTTTCTTTCTTTGGAAAAAAAAAAGAAATCTAAGAAAAAAAAACAAGCTGAGACGTGTCAATCTTTAAAGCGAACCAAAAACAGTTGGGAAGGCAGGAGAGAATTTCCATTTGGAATTTCACTTGAAATACTTAGTACTGCATCCGATTAAGATCAACAAGCCTGGCGTTTGTGCTCAAACAACACAACAGCTTATTACACGGTGCAAAACTGCCAAACTGCATTATGCAGCGACCCAGTAAAAACAGACACATGGGCCCTTTGTGAGCCTGTAGTGGGCACCACAGGCAAGATGCACCCATGCAAACCTGCAGTCCCCCAACTCTGGAAGAAGGCATTATGCAGTCACTGGAAATGTGCATACAGTACGAGCCCCAGCATGGGCTTATAGTGGCACACTCATACAAAACCCAGATCAGACCTAACCTGGCATGAAAAGAGAAGAGAGGAAACACAACTCCAAAACATTTGTTTCCTTTCTTCTCTTTTCAGCATGAAATAAGTCTTATACTTGTTCCTTTGCAGCCTATGCATGCTGACGCAGCTACTCACATGAACTACCTAATCTGGTATGACAGCAAAGAGATGGTGAATAAATATATCTCTGTAATCAATAACTAAAATATTTTTAGGGTGTGAAATTTGTCCATGAAAAAAGACTGCTTGTGTCCATCTCTTTTTTAAACAAAATAAGTGAGCACCACACCTGTCTTAATAGAGTTGTGTCATTATTCTAAAATAACAGTAGAAGTCACCTGCTCATAACATGGTCTGCCTGCCACATCAATCATAATTGGGCAGAAATTTAGAGACAGTTGCCCGAAGATGTCACAGACCATACAGAAAGGAAAAATAATATTATGCATGCTTTCTAATTATATATTGTTGATTCTTTTAATGCCTTAAATCCATATGCACATTGTGCATGTATTGTAAATATTGTATTTTACCTTAGTGATCAGAGCGCCTGCTTGCATTGATATATTGTGCATGTATTGTAAATATTGTATTTTACCTTAGTGATCAGAGCGCCTGCTTGCATTGATATCACCATTGTCATTGACGTTATAATATTGCTTATTGTAGTTCAGTTTTGAATGATTGATAAATGTAAAAATCTCTCCATGTAAAACATCCCCTGGAAATGTGCCAAGTCTCAAATACTCAATGTGGCTAATATACTGTACATCACTTCAACTGAGGAACAAACCACATTTTAAGTGTTATAAACAGTTACGGTAAATAATGCTGGGATAAATATAGGAACGTGCAAATGGACATTTTGATGGATGTATGAAAGCAAAAAATCGTTGGCTGACAAAATTAAGATAGATGTGTTTGCACTGAATGTCTAGTGAGAGGCATTTATTAGAGAGATGGAACAGGAAGAATAAAATGATAAGATCTGTTATGGTCCTAAGATTTTTCTGTTGTGATTATTTTATTTAAATGTATTTATTAAGTGTCGGAAAATAAACAAAAACAATTAACATGAATATTGTAAAATGATTGTAAAATCAGGAAGTATTGGGTTCACTTTGGTGGCTGTTAGAAAGGCTGTGAACAGAGAGGGCATAGGAAGGTATAATGTACAGTAAGTGAATAGAAAATCCAGTCTTTTCATTATAAAGAAAAACTGCTCTTTAAGGCTCTGATTTTAATCTATGTCACAACTCTGCAATGAAATAGTGTGAAACATTTAAACGAACAACATTCTTTGCATTTCAAAGAAAGAAGCCATAAATCTACAGAGCATGCTAAATAAGCATTACGATTATTATGGGGGAAAACAGGAGTATCATATTGATTGCAAAAATAACAAACCTCCAACATCGTTTTGTTTAGATAATTCCAGAAGATGCTGATACAAGTGTTAGTTGACATCATTGGTTATTTAACTAGATTCCTAACTTTATTTCAGACGCTGCCAAAAAAAATCCTCCCAAGATGAACTGTGGGCTTGGAAGTAATGTCAGTGGCAATACTGTGGTTTTGAAATGCATGCAAATGGCAGGTGGGAGGAAAAATTGAATCCTAAAGGCTTTGAGGAAGTGGCACCACAGGGTGTTACAGTACAGTAGCTCTTTCTTTGTTTCCAACCCTAATGACCACACATCTTTTTTAACAGCAGTGTAACAATAAAAGTGAAAACTGAACATCGAGCTATTTTGTTGTATTTGTTCCTTTATGGGAAATAGGTCTGTGTGCCTAATGTTGTGAAATAAATCTAACACACACTGTACATATGTATTTAAATGATTTTAATACATACATAAATCATATCAATTTACCAACCCAAACGGCGACACCCGAAGAAGGCCCCACAGCCAAAATGTTGTGTTTCTTTTCTTATCTTTTCAGCATGGAATAAACCTTTACTTGTTCCCATCCACAACAATATCCAGTCATAGCTTTAGCATAACTGTTATTGCTCAACTGTGTTAACGTTTAACTGCTATTGGAATATATATACCAAATAAAATGATTGATTATTCATCACTTACACTGTTCTATCATGATTTGGTTAAAAATGACTGGTTAAACACTGTGTTTCAGACAGTTATATACTGTATATATTTATAGACCTCTTGCATTGGATGATAGATGGGTTTAGATGTGCCTTACCATAATTTTAGTCAAAGTCTTAATTCATACTGACATTTATATTTGCTATTTTAGAAACCATGCTGTCATATTCCAAAAAAACAACATAGGAGATCCCATTAATTAATCAGGTGCTATCCCTGATACTACATGCCTCAGACATTATCATCGTCCTAGACAATATGAGAACCTGGAAACCTATGAACTCCACCCCCACCCCCACTGGGAATTTAATAAAGTTGTGCTACTCTACGATCTAGTGTGAAAGATTGTGTCTCTCTGGAAGCAACAAAGCTGGCTTTTCAGACTATTTTATCAAATGATCTTCCAAATAAAACAATATCAGAGGAGTCCAAGTAACACAAGAACCTCTAAAATAACATTCCTAACTACAAAAAGAACCATGTTTCCTCGGAATGTATTTTTCATGCCTAATTGCGTATTTATATCTCATGTGTCCTAAAGTGTGATAAAAAAAGAAAAACAGTTGGTTCTATCCTCAAAAGACAAATTTAATGTCAAGAAGGAGTTTTTAATAGGAGAAGCAGTGTTTTCTTTGTACCTGATCTCCCAATTATTTAACTGAAATGTTTAAACTTTTCCCTCAGGAACTACAGTAAATACAGTACTTGACAACACCATAATACACAACACACAAATTCCAGTTCCACTTACTGAAGCGTTCACCAAGCACTGTTTTAGAAACTAAAGTATGTACACCGACACCCCCTTCTGGATATTTTACATGAAATGAACTAATTGTGCGTCATTTTTTACTCACACTCCAATCATCACGATAGAAGATCTGCTGGAGAAATTTCAGTGTGAGCATATCACCCTGGACAGCCTTGTGCTGCACTGGGAATAAACTACATTATGAAGATCTTATGTGCCAAACTGGGTGACCCAAGACCTTTCTGTTTTAAGATATTTTTGAACTGTAATGAAACTCCAAAGCATAGAACGTATACAACAAAAACAAGAAACAGCCATATTTGCAGAAAATAATTATCGTCATATTGAACTGTTTTTTACCCCAAATCTTTGCTGTTCAAAATCAAATAATTCCCCGATGTGAAAAATAAAATAGTGCCGATTATATAGTTGTTACATATGACACTTTTGAAAAAGCATTTTTCTGATATGTAGATGTAATAATATATTACAAAACTGAAATGACCATGGAATGTTTTTAAAGCCAATAACAGTGTGGGTTCAGACCCCATAGATCTATAACTAAAACTTATGATTTCTCCTTCCAATAAAAAAGCAGACCAGGTTTCTGTGATAGAGATGGTCAGGTTTAAAAAGCTAAAAGAATACTAGCTTTTTGGTTAGTATCTTTTAGCTTTGGACAATCCAGGACTAAAAACCGGTACAGCGATACCGGTTTACATATTTATTTATTGCTTTATATTCTGACTAAACTAGGGTGGTTATTTAAGTCCCTGAAAGCCCGGTTATTAGCTATTTAAACTGGCTTCATACACCAAGTGCACAACACCATTGCATTTCCATATTCAAATGGAAATTTATCATCTGCTTCAACCAGGCCTCTATTGTGCAGTTCATCTTTCACCATAATAAAGTTTACCTTCACCATAAATCTACCATAGAAATCGCTTAAAACATAACTTGTCACTAAGCTAAACCCCATATTTTTTAAAGAAAAAGAAGCTGCCATCAGTACCATACCTCTAAGTTGTTCAGTGTTTTTAAAAAGTGTTCATTTTGTTTTCCATAAGTAAACAGTAAAAGTCTGCCTAAGAACCTGTTTCTGCTGCCCGGTGTTATCCCTAATCTGTATCAGGCAAAAACAAGCAAGCTTTTTTATTCTCAAAGGGGAGGAATAACACAGTTTAAAATCTGGCCATAACAAAATAAATAAAAATACATTCATGCTTTCTTACCTGCTATGACAGCTGGGTTGCTCTGTCCTCCCTCTGGTTTCACCCACAACTCTACGCTGAAAGCGGAGCGAGGCAGTTCAAGACCTACATCTGGGTGGATTTTGAGCTGCTCCTTTTTGCCTGTGAAGTACATGGCTGTCATCTGCTCTGGGGATACTTCCCTAGTTTCTGGACCCCATAGTTCACCACTGGGATTGGATAGCAGGTCATGCTCCCCTGAATAGTCATCTCTCTCTGTTGAATAATCAATTGGTCTAAACTTCACATGCGTCCCATGGGCTAATACTTCTTCAGGTAAGTCCTCTAACTTCTCCTTTGCATGTGTTCCTGTTGCACTTCTGCGACTCCTGCTATTGGCCACTGTAACATTCTTTCGTATCGTTCTCTTACTGTCTGTCAACAGAGATTGTTCACCTGACTTTGCGTGTTGGACAATGTTACTCAAAGCAGCATGTTCACCTGATATTTCGTATGTCTCCGGGTTATGAGTAGAGTCATTAAAATGAGGAGAATTAACGGCAACATTTTGCTGTCTTTGAAGATTTGGATAGCTTTCTTTCTTCCTAAAATTAGGATTTAATTTCAGAGCTTCTGTCTTGGCTCTTGACTCACTGCTGCTCCAAGGAATATGAGCCCCATTTTGCAGTTTTTGGGCATCAGTACCATGTTTGGACTCTAAGGGACACTCTCCAGAGCAGGTCTTCACCACAGGAGCAGCTATCGCATGATAGAACCCTGCCGGCCTTGTGTGTTTCCTCGGATAAGCCCCTAGGGGGTGTAGTTGAGCTGCAGACCGAGTGTGCCTGGCAGAACCCACGGACCTGCACTGTTCACTAACCAAGGAGGCTTGGATCCAGTCTGCTTTCAAAGCCAGAGCCCGCTTGTACCTTTGGACATGGTCGGACTGAGCGGAGTCTAGCAGCCATATGTTCAGTATCACCAAGGCAACAACCAGTAGTCTAATACACATCATTTTAGGAATTATTAGTGTTAAAAGAATTATTAAAATGTTTCAGTATTGGACTCCCCTCCTTAAAGAAACGTACATAAGACTTCTATAGTATAAAATAATATACTAGCAGCATTTTTTTTCCTGATGCATCACATAGCACTTGTTCAACGTTAAAAATGTGATACAAATGAATAAGTCCGTTATCTCATGTCATGGTTTTTGCAAGCTTCACAGTTCCTTTTCATGAGATAAATCACTTCAAAGCTTAAACATAGTAGCAGTGCTGTATTAGGTCTTACTGTAAAATGAAAGTTCCGAGATATTTCCAAGCAAATGTTACTTCTCAAAATCTATGATTATCCTAAGAAACATCTCCTTCACTTAGTTTTCTTGCATCAAGCAGTTAATGCCCAATTGCTTATATTACATACTTCAAAAAACTCTTACAAGCAAATCCGACTCACTCGTATAGTTCCATCAGTTGCACCTTGTGTTCCTATGAGCTTTCCCAGACAGCGATGAGCAGCAAAATAAAAACTGTGCATTCGGACAAAAAAAAGAGAAAGTTTTGATGATCTGTTACCTTGCTTCTCCGCTGCAACCGACAACTTCAAGTCCTCTTTGCTTTTAAGAGGGGCTCCTCAAATGCTTTGCAACACTAGCAGTTTTCTTTGCTCGTATTTTTTTTTTTTGCCTGCCCCAGTCAAAAGAAAGAAATTCTGGCGAGGAGAGGGACCTACAGTACATCAACTTGCGCCTCACCAGCCTCTCGGGCGCGCATCACCTCGTTTCGCCTTCCAGACCTCAGAGTAAACCTGCTAATGTTCTGTTCCTCCGATCTGTAAACAGCTTTTTCTTCTGGATAGCGACAGAAATCAATAAAACACTCATGTTTTTTTTTTGCCCACTCACTTTTGAACGGATCAATAAAAGGCTACTTCTTTGGCGACTTTACATCTATATACATAGCGTAAGACCACAGATAGTGCAGCGTCAGGAAAAACGATGTTTCATTAAAAATCCGTATTCTGGATTTCAAAACGCAACAATGAACCGGGATATTTGAAATGATTTAACCGAGTTGAGAGTATTTCGTTTTTTTTCATTCAAAGTTCATTCAAGGTCTCGGTACCAGCTTTGCGATCTCCAAAGTCTTGTTTTGTAAATATTAAAACCAAAAATAAAAAACAACAACAGGTGTATACGACACGAAAATGTATTTATATTTTATCTTGTTTTTCATACATAATACTGCACTTTTTGCGTTCAAAACTAAAATGTTTTTTTTACGTTTAGTTTAAAACGCACATTTTATAAACATACTGTAAAACCAAAGCGTTAAGAATGGATAGTTTCTATGGTTATTTTTCACCAACCACTAAACAGTTCTCTGCCTTATTCCAATGTACTGTATGTCTTAATGTGTGTTGAAAAGCGAAGCAAGGCAGTCTGAATTTTGATTCTTTGGAAGTCAAAGTCAAATTATAAAAGCTCTTTAGCTTACCCTCCTCAGCCTATGCGTAAAGACCCAAACCTCAGCATTGCTCTAGCTCTAAAATGTCTAGCAATAAATCTCATTTCATTTTTCTTGCTTTGAATCTTCCATTGAAATTTTTGGAAGATCAAACCAAGGCGCTGAAACGTTTTATCTCTTTCCTCCACAATGACATCATAGACCCAGCCCCTACACAGAAATTAAGGAAACCTTTCTCGGTTTGTAAGCTAGCTGCCCCTTCCTCGTCCTCTCTGTTGCTTTCTTTTTGTTCTGCAGAAATGTTATTGGCGACTTGGCCGAATTCCTCCTCTCCTGACAGAGCATCTCACTACCATAAACAAAGATCACTTCTGTGTGATGTGCCAGGAGGTGTGGTGAAGGAAGATCATCCTATGAAATCAACCAGCAATACATACACAAAAAAATACATACTATATATATAGACAGTAGGAGAGTACCCCATTTGAGTCACAGTACTAATAACTGTTAAGACCTTTCGTTATGGTAATTGAAGTCTTGTTGCTTTGTAAGAATAATGCAGTCCTGCTGTAATGGACACTGTAGATTAAAATGTGCCCCATGCCATATGTGACAAAGTATTTTGTAGATACACATACACTGTAGTATGATCATTTAACATTATGAGTGCTTCTTCTACAGATGGTTCTCGTTAAAGTCAAGCAATTACAGCAATTAAAAAAATCAATTCTGCCTTTCAAATACAATTCAAGTGCTGTAATAAACTTTGATATTATGTTTATCTGCCTGGTTATGTGAACAAGTGGGTATATGCATGTCTGGCACAGAGTGACATTAGATGCAGATTAATTGCAATAATACTTATGAAATTGTACTGTGTGTGCCTATATGCATTTCTTTTGTATATTTATTACGTGTAAAAAAGTTCTTGAGAGGATTTCGGAAGATATCTCTTTTTGTTTTTACTGTTTTGTTTTATGTTAATCAGAATTGTATTGCTGTTTGCTTTAAAATCATGATACACATAAATGTTCAAAAGACTGGTATGTGCCTATTTTTTCCTTTATTAAGCAGTGAACAAATCAAACACTCCCATTTTATTTATAAAATATACCCACATGTACATATTAGGGAACGGCATATTCCAAAAGAGAGGCCCATTCTCTATAATGTAGTAAAAATGGAACATCACATAATTTCCGAGGACTGTGAAGTAGCAGAAAATCAAGCTTTTTCTTCATGTGCTCTGCAATGAGGAAGTACAGTAAGTGACCTCACAGATACCTGTGACACAGAGCTGGTTAACATGTTAATTCATTTCTGTTTGCTCAGACAAGCTCAGAGTTTTATGGTCCCTCGATTTCAGGCTCATCGTGACATTTGAGATGCTCTGGAAAGTCGAACGACACACATTTCATGCATCAACTGGTGTTGGCTGTGTGATCCCTTATCTGAACATTCATTGGATAGCACCTGCTGAAATCAATGCTGTGACATTTCTCCATCATCTAGTTGCAGTGCAGTAACTGGTGGCACATTAACAGATGTTTTCTAATATTTTGATTATCTATATACAGTATGTGGACATATTTTTAGTTTAATTACACAGTATTGAGAATGATATAGTGTGAAAACGTAAGGGACACGTATAAGTATATACTGTATGAATTTCGGGTGCATAACATTAAAATGCAACCCCTCAAACCTTCTCGAGAAATCACGCAAACTTTAAGTTTTAGACTGCAGTGCTATTTAGTGTCAAACCAAGTGGTGTTTGCATTCCTGATGGGTAAAATAAAAACTTTCCTGATTGAAATCATTCAGAATCTTTCATTTATTCAATTTAATTAAGAATAAGATAATTCCTTTGTTATTAATCCAATGAATATAGTTATACTTAATGTGTGCATTAAAATCAATATTAATTATGATACATTTGCTTCATACTCTTTACAGAGTAGCAGATATGATCCAATGAGACAGCATGCACAGTAGAACATACTGTATACTGTATACTGTAGCACTGATATGTTAGTCCAGGTACTTGGGAGAACTATCAGTCTACTTTGTCTTTACCCAGTGTAGTCTTTTGGGTAGTGACACATTGCTTATGTCTTTAAAGGAGCATCTACTGTATTTGAAGGAGTATTCTATTGACAACTTCAAACCAGATGTTTTCTCAGTTTGCTTTACTCTCGTCCAAGAGGATTCCTCTGCCTCTTATTTTTCTGGCATGTCTGACAATGAGCTCACATGAACTTTGGGACATTACCTATAGCAAAGTTACATACACTGCAGCACTGAAATGCACTTAGAAAACTTATGTGGCAGTTATGGACTACATTGGACATGTCCATCTAATGGAGTGGAGTTGCAAGTTTTCCCAGACTTTAAAGGAAAAATGGCATTTTTTTAGTAGTTGTTAAAAAAAAGTGAAATGATGCACACTTTGCAATTCCTGGACACCACACTAGATAATGACAGCATTCCTTGTAATAATACCCAGATGGCCTTTTTGAACTACCATTAAGTCCAGAGCACTTAAGTGAATTGGACTCAGTGCAAAGGCACCACTGGCCTTATATCACACATTATCCTGGAAATGCAAGGTCATTTGTTGCTGCGCAATACGGCTGGCATGCCTCTTGGCATTATTGTTATGCCGATAAAGGTGTGGAGATTTATAAACATCTGGGTTGGCCTTTTACTTATGGTGTAGTTATTAATTTAACAAAACATCAAGGGGACACTGGAAAAATAACATATAATCCCACTCCCTGTCAAAGACAGATTTAGAGTACTGTGATTTAGCCAGCACAACTGAAAGATGATCTGCTGCATTATTATTGGAGCCAGATGGGAATTCCAGGTTTAAATTATTTTGATACTATGATAGTCCCACCTGTGGGTTCACAAAGGACTGCACCTTGTGCCCTAGAGAGCAGAGTGTTGCAAGTGTGTCACGCTCTGTTGGCATGGGCACCACACCGGAACATCACTACCTTTCAAAAGCCAGGATACAAAATCTCTCTCTCCCAAAGCATATTTCTGATGCAATCTCGTGAAACTGGAAGGATCTCGAGAACTTCGATATTATTTATTGAAGCATTTTAACAACGCCTTTCTTATGTTTATTTTGAAAACAAACTCACAACACATGTGTATATTATAGTTTCGATGTTTAAAAATGTAGTTTCCTCTTTAAATCATACTATTTTCAGCCATCTATTGTATATAGATTTGTCTTTAAAATCTTTTAATTTGAATAAGTACTCATTTCTATTTCCTTCTATTGATATCCTGATTTTGCTGGTATTTCAGTCAAAGCAGCATAAAAAGCATTTCTTACTTCTGTCAGTATTATATGGACCTTAGATATAAAAACAAATTAAGACCCATTACTCATCATTTTAACCTCTATGCGTCTAATGCCCACATGACACATACAGTATAATCAAATTGATATACAGATATACAGCAAGAAGGGTCTATAGCTTAACATGAATCCATTCTCTTTAATTGCAAAGTGCAGGCTTTTCTTAGGTGTCGTACTTATGCCAAGGAATTACAGTACACACTCCAATAATCAACATTTTCTCATTCATTCATAATATTTCATACACAACCATCATATACTGGTACTATACTGTCATAGATGTTTGAAAATTCTAAGGCTGTCCGTTTTTCAACAACTAAATTACATTTACTGTATTGTGGGTGGCTGTACCTCTTAGGCACGTTCTTTACTTCTGGGGTGGTCTATACAAAACAAAAAGTTTTACAGGATGTATGGTTATAAAGGTCAAGTTGAATTTTAAATATGATTTTGTAGTGTTCAATGAAATACTGTATGTCTGTTTGCTGGCAAAGGCTGAATAAAAACTTTATGTTCCATATTTTTGGTCTTAAGCACCTTTCACCATTTAGAGTTAAAAAAAAGTCTGACTTGGAGTGAGAAAGATAGTGGCTGACAGATTTCGGTAAGCAAGACTTTGTTCCAAGAGCAGAAGCCAACACAAGCATAACCTGCAATATACATACATTCGTAAGTAAATAAAAATCAATCAATCAGTAATCAAATATTGGCATCACACCATATGTCTCACTCTCCTACGGCTACACCTCAATTGTTTTAATTTACGTTCATTTACAAATATTCATGCTTTTCATATCATGTAGACATGCTGTGTAGTCTGAAGAAGATTAAATGGAAATCAGAATAATACAAGGTTTCCCATTTTTATTTTAAATAAACCAAAAACTATTCATGCTCTTTTTCAGTGCCCCTGTCAGACAACATAAAAATATTCCTAAACTGTCCAATATGAAAAAAGAAAGATGTTTAATCCCCTGGCGTAACTTCTAATAGTCTAACAGTGCAGGTGCATACAGTATGTCGTTTTAAGCTTTCATATTGAGTCAGGCCAACTAGCAGACCCAATTTTTAAAAAGAGAGATTTTCAAAAACACCTCTCCATCTGAGGTGATACTGTAGCAAGTGATGGGATTATTTAATAGCACATTTTTCATTTTCTTCTTCGTATCTTTTTTCAGGCGCAAATTGTGAGCAGTACAAATACGAATGGCTGGCAGTTAAGACGGGGGCCCATTCAAGGGTAAAAGGTTCCTAACAGCAGGAGGC